CGAATTTCCCCATTTCCAGGGCCTCCTTGATCTCCAGGCCATTGGCACAAGGCTCATGGGATGCCCCAAGGGCTTCGCTGAAGGCTGACCTGTCAGGATCCCCGGGATCTGATCAGGTCTGACTCATGGGATGTCCCCCAATTTAAAAAAAAAGGCAATTTGAATAGGGATCATATGGGATAATAAGGGATTATATAATATGATATATATATAGTCAATGATATATGGGGTATAATATATATATATACATATATATATATATAATTGATTATAATGATATATATATATATATGATATATGACTATATTATCAATGGATATAGGGGGCAATTGCAGCATCTTTTCAGACAAACCCATATATGCTACTTGGTCTATTTACGAACTCTACGCCGCTCTATGCCTACGCCGCTCTACGCCTACGCCAGTAGCATTTCTCAACCCACCGGGCTAGAATATTGGAGCGTGGCCATGACAGAAGTGTGACTTATCTATTTTGCCTTCTAGCTGGAAGTATGGCCACACCGTTCCCTGCATGTCAGCAAAACCCAACTCCTGGTACTCTACATGAAACAACCTGCTCAGTGGAATAGCCATGAACGGCTGATCACCTATTTCAATATCATTTACCATCTGGTTATTTAACAGTTCGCCATGGAAAATGACCATGATATGAATAGGTAAACCATCTATTTCTATGGGCCATCGAAAAACCATGGCTATGTTAACCAGAGGGTACATCAATAGCCAGTTTGCCACTTTCATCATCCCTGAAACAAGTGGAGTCCATCCCTGAAACCTCAGGATGGGAACCCTATAGCCATGTGCTCCGTCTATCGGACGATCGTCTTTGGGACGATCATCTGATTTTACTCTGCAAGATACTACAAGGATTTTCCCAATGGACATGACATGAAACAACACCTGAACGTTGGCTTGGAAAATCACCTGCAGTTGCCACCTCTCGACCCCTGAAACTCGGCCAGGGCCGCGTAATTTCTTGGTGTAACAGCTGAACAGCCACATCAAGAACCTTCAGGGAGCGCAAAAGTAGGGCCTTTGTCGCCAAAAGTGCCCCAAACATGGGTTTGGTACCTGAACATCATGGCAAAAACCGCTAAATTTGATCGATAGTTTATCATTTCTCCTTTGACATTGCCATTTTGAACGGTACATCCCATGTTCAAATGCACCGAAATGATCTATATAAATCACTTAGAAAAACCAAGCAGGACATTGGTCGAACTCGGGCAGCAGCACATGGATACACAGGAGTTCCCTCTTTCGTGTGTATTGCGGACGGTTCAAAATTATGGGACGCCCAAAGTGTCTGGTTTATACTCAAAATGATGAAAATCATGGTACTAAGTCCTGATGACAGATACAGCTAAAAAAGTGCCGGGTCCCCGGGACAACAGTCGGGATCCCCTGCATAAACCAGCTGTTTGGTGGATATATGTTCATGCCCAAGCCGAGGATTTAAGATTCAACATGAAAATTAGATGTCAGATCTTGAGTCTATTTGAGTTCATTCCATAATATGTGTATCTAATGTGGGTAAAACAATGCCATTTTTACCATTCCCATGACTGGGAATGGTAACTATACCACCTATATATTTATTAAATGATGACTGGGGGATGGTAAACATGACTTTTTGTTTTGCCCACAGAAAATTTCTGTGCAAAAATTCCCAGATTTTGGAGATTTCCCGCAAGATTTGTCACATAAAAAAGGCCTTTGTCTTGCAGCGCTTGTGGCTGGCAGCATCTGCCTGCGCCAAAAAGATCGATCATCCCCCCGAGCACGATGCTCAAGTGATGAGTTGAACCAACTCAAATTCGAGAAATGATCAGATGCTACTAGTTACATCTAGTTACTATACACAACTTTACCATATTTTACAATCTTTTATAGCAATCTGATTATAGCATTCTATAGCCGATGTCAACAATTCACAGGGATTTGGAGCTCACAAGAATTGGATAAATCATATAATTCTGGAAAATTAAATCAACCCCGATTACTCTTCCAAACATGACATCAGGATGCAAAATGGGGATCCATGGCATCAGAAGATCAAACCCTGTAGGCCGTTAAGTGTCTGAACACGGAGGGTGTGTCCCCATGAAATTGACATTTGATAATGGAACATATGGTGATTACTCGTCAACCTTGAGGTACAAACCCATGTGGCTCATCATTATATAAACATGTCACAAATAAAACGGGCGGGCGCACAAACATATACAAATCATATACTAATGCTGCTACTAGTATAGATAGTATTTGTTAATATTTACAGTATTAGTATTTGGTAATTGTTAACAGTTTGCTATGGGAAATCACATTTAATGGGCCCAGTCATTCATCGAACTCAATGGGCTGTCCGCCTGAAGTGCTTCTTTCAACTTCTCAGCTGTGAGGCTTCTCAATGCCTCTGCCACCGCAAACTCCTGGCATGCCGCCATGTGAAGGGCTTAGATTTGGCAACCCAACATGGGTAACATGGGGCAATGTCAACCTCGGATTCACGGGTTCCGTGGGCTGTTACAGTAAATTGGGCTGCCACTTTAGCAGCAAGTTCTCATATTTATATCATCCGGGTATAATCAACCACGGTTTCTTCATCCGTGCTCGAACAAACCGATCCAAAAACGGCCATTCCGAATTGAACAACCATATATCCACCTTTCAGGGTCGCAGTTCGACCCCGTCCCGGTCCCAATGGTGATCTCGAGCATACCTTGAACGTCTCACATTACTACCCCCAAATATCTTGAAAAAAGGTACGCCATACTACGCCCAAAACCTCCAGTTTTTTGGGAGTCGAAACCTCCTACGTTGTGCTGTTAAAGGCGACAATTGAAGTGGGATAACCGGGATAACTCCCTGGTCCCAGATGATAAAAGTCTCCTCCTCATTCATTGGACAAAGCGGGGTCCATGAGCGACTGATTGAGATGTGAACATCATCTGATGGCTTCAAACCTCCTCATTCTACTCTGCATCTGAAACTCAACTTTTGTCAACTATTATCTTCTCTGCAAAGATCTTTGAATCAAACATGTCAAGTTGGCAAGCCAGAATGTGTGAAACAAACTGTAGCGAATTTGCATACTGAAGGAACTTGAGACATGATACTTGTGACAAGCATCCAAAATTTGCACGCTGGTTCCACTGTGCTTTGAATGTTCCTATTCTACTTGCATAAACCACCACACATTTTGACAAAGCAGCTGCGGCGGCGAATAGATTTCCACATGCTAAACCAAGACGATGTTCTGATCCAAGCAATGCATGGTACGTAAGAAATGCATAACATCAACCTCTGGATCTTGGCCACTTCGTGATCATCTTCCCATGGCAACATCCAAACATGCTTACTTGAATCCACGCCATTCTGCTTACAATGATATGTATACCTAATTATGGATATTCTATATATATATTATATATATATATGTATTACTTATTTAATTATATATTTGCAATTTTATCTATGTATCATGTAGTATCTATGTGTTTCTTTTATTTACATGGCTTGTATTCTGGTTACGTCACAAAGTATTAACTATACATGCTTGGCTCGCAAACTAATATACGGTCTGCCTTCCGACCTGCATTTCCGCTCTTTGACCGCCGTTCTGACAGCAGAATGTCCAGAGAAAACTGGCAAACGGCCACCTGGCAGTGTGGCTCTCAATACCCATGGTGGAATACCCGCCCTAAAAAAATGGCTTTGTCTGAAAATACCGGGTACCCCCAAAAATAATTGTAAATCATCATTTTCTTCATTACAGTACATTGGCAATAAAGCAGGGGCATACCCCATTGCCAAACAAATCCCGGCGCTGGAAGAATTCATCTCTATCAATCCACGGTCGGAGATTTCCCATGGTCGTATGGCCATTTTTAGAGAAGCCAAATGGCCAAATCTGCGGCCAAGATCCAATTTGTGACGTCAAGTTCCTATTTTGTTTATATCTATAATATAGGCATCTATGATTGGGGTGTTCAATTTCACACTTTCATTGGATGAATCCAAATTTTCTTGGTCAGATCCCTGTTTTTTGTTGGTTATATCCATTTAAATCCGAATTTTCCATGGAGAAATCCTTGCTTGGAACCCGTCGTTCAAGCCTGTGGCTGCAGTTGCGTCAGCTTTCGAAAAGCCTTGGGCGCCAAATTTTCCAACGCTGCCAGGATGTCCAATTCCGTAGCGCCTGAGCAGCTGGGGGAATGTGAGGAAAGGAATGGCAATTATTATCCCATCATATCCCATCCATAGGATATGTTTTCATCAACATGCAGGTTAAATAAAGGGAACTGTGATATACTATGTGATCAAATATATTATTCAACATACGGCATTCTAATGGGACCATTATTTGTATGTTTTTTTTTGCACTGCCGTGTTTGATTACCGAAGGGTTATCATGCCTGTGGGATCAACGGGGAATCATCCCAAACGCTTTGTTTCGTTGCTTTTATCAGATCAAATGTTTGCCCGGATATGGAAAAAGCAACACCATTTGTATGTAGATCATTTGAATCATTTGTTTGTTGGGAAATGCATGGATTTCGATACCTATCTTAATTTACCAAAGGGTGACCCAAGCAAGCTCCAGGTAGTGTTGAGGCACTTTTTTGAGGACCATGAACCATGAATAAACATCAAGCCTATCATCGATCAACTCTCTGGGCGAACTCACCCTATTCATTGACAAACTTGCAGGTATGGCCCGCCACTGAGGAAACAACACCACTACTTGGCCAAGAACTATATGCTGATTCAAAAATCTGGTCAGAACAAAATGTGTGTTTCACGTTTTGAAGTTTGCTGGCTGGCTTAAATCTCTGATTTCTTGCAATATCTTGCGATATTTTCTCGTATCGATTCTTGTTTGTTTGCTTTAAAGATCCTTCCCTGTTCTCGCTGGCTACATCAATTTTCCCATGGTTTTGCTGTTTCCTTCTCCCAAGGTTTGCTTGGGACTATCCATTAAAGCCAAGCTTTATCTTCATCCATCCCAATCTTTCCGGCAGCCCCTCCTTCTCGATCTTTGGAGGAGGCCTTCTGCAACAAGTACGGCTGCAATTTGCTCACCAGCTGTCGCATGGCAAGCAGTTGAGCTACCGAGAGATCTTGGAGCCCGTGGAGCCCGAAGAAGAGGAAACATTGCAACGCTGTGAAGATCTGAAACCTCGGGACCGGGCTTTCTTGGGATGGGATACAGGTGCCCAACATGTCTTTTGAGAACAACCAGAAATCACGAGACAAGTCATGATGATGGGAGTGGTCACGATCCATTCATCGTGAATTTCACAAAAAGAAATTAAAAACTCTGATCGTGTCAACAAAAATATAAGGGTAGTGAGAATGGTTCAAAAATAATGTAACAACATGTAACAACATGTAACAACATGTAACAATATGTAACAACATGTAACAACATGTAACAACATGTAACAACATGTAACAACATGTAACAACATGTAACAACATGTAACAACATGTAACAAAGGGACGCACACTTTGGTCATGTCAAAGATTGGGGATCCAGACTTTAAAGCTAAATAGGCATATACAGCCACACCCAATTTACACATCTTAATATCTGTCATTTTCCGGAAAAGGATTGAGGACCTAACAAACTCTCAAAAAAAAGATGCCATGAACCCACTTCACAGTAAGAAATGACCCGTGTGTTTTCTCAGTCAAGTCAAATCTTTATGGTGTGAAGCGCCCACTGTTTGAACCAGCCCAAAGGCAGTGGGTTCAGATTTTTATCGGTGGAATGTGGATCACACCCTCCAACATATAGAAACCAAAACTGACAAAAAAAAGTTACAAAAAAACATATTCACCTTGTAAATAGATGTACTTCCATGCCAAAATCATACAACATCTCTGGCTTCATCCCAATATAAATTTGGATCACCATCCAGTTCACTGGGACGGAACACAAAGACTGTTTGAACCACCCGCGAAACACATATTGGTGTTCCCCTATCATTCCAAGATTGTTGGTTCCCTCATCATATTCTCATCGGATAACACCACACATCATCTTCAAATATCGAATTTAAAGGACAAGAAAACAATGTGTAGTTCCACTTGACTTAAAGGATCATGAGCTATGACAAATGACACCGGACGTCAAAACAGAACATCTATCTAAATACACTGTTGAAATTATATATATATAGTCATAGTTATATAGAGTATGAATATGTATGATTTTTATCATCATATTGTCATTGACATTAATGTATATATATATATTGTATATTCATGTTTCATATTAACCAATATCATACATATTTATACTCACAAAAAGTTTCACCCTCATTAACAATATGGTTCACAATATGTTTCACCCTCCGGCAATTTCACCGACCAAGGCACGCATTCGCCAGGCTCGAAGCCGTTTTTTCGCACGCAATCTCCGGGATCTCGGTGGCAATTGCCAGGTCCTGAAGCCTGGAGAAAGTCCCGGCCCGGTGGTTGCTGTTTTTTGGGGATGGAGAAACAATGGAAAATCTCACAAAAAATGGGAAAAGCATCTAGAAATCATCTAGAAAATGGAAAATCTCACAATCTATGGCCGATGTTTATGGGACAAATTGGGAAAAAGCATCTAGAAATAGTCGAAATATGTCGAAATCATCTGTAAATGGCTTTTAAAGTGTTGATTTAACCAACAAATGTGGCATTAATAAACATGCGATCGGGATATATGTGATTATAGATGATGATACGAGTATGGGGCATAGAATGGTTTAGCACCAACAAAACATGTTTCTGGGCTTGTCTGAAAATGGGGGGCTTACCATGGGAACAGGTCCAGACTGTTTCTGGACAAATCCATTAGTCAAAACACCCAAAACGCTACGTACCCCGTTGGAAAGTGTATGGTTGGTTACTGCATATGGGGTATTATGGGGTTATGTAGAATTTACATGAATTTACTATTGGGTTTACATGGATTTACGACATGAGTGGGTTTCAAACCTCAACAGGTTCTATAATGTCTTGGAGCTCTGATAGTAGAGGTTTCAAGCTGTCAATCTTCGGGTCAGCAAAATCAGATGTATCTTCTGAATTCTTCTGAGAAGAACACATGTTTCGGGTTCCCAAAGGTTGTTCCCCCAAAAGTGCATATAATTTACCTACCAAGAATTATCTCAGATACAATCACCTAATATTATCTATCATCAGGTTATTTAACATAGCCATGGAAAATCACCATTTGTAATAGGTAAACCATCTATTTCTATGGGCCATTTTCCATGGCTATGTTAAATACCCAGAGGGTAATATTAATATCCAAATATGTTCCACATCATTCTCAGCAACACTGGCGCTCCCGGACCACATCTCCAGCTGGCAGCGCCAAGGGACAAGGCTCTACGAAAGAGGTCACTGTTTTGACTCGCCAAAGTCAAGCCATGCAGGGCTTGCGCCAAGCCAAGAAACCAGGGGCCACAGTCCTGATGCATGGAAAGGAAGGGCAATAGACGGGACTCCACAGTAAACACTCAACATATACCATCATATACCCACATCATGGAACATGTTATACTTCACAATTCAATTCAGAGATATTTAGATATAGTAATTATGTATGTCCACCTATAATCACACATATAAGTATATAGTATAGTATTTTCTATTCTTAGTTACTCTGGCTCTTAGCTGGGCATCTTGATATTCCATCATATTCCTAGTTGCAAAAAAAAAATGATTCACCTGGAACAGCCTGGTTTAGTCACGGATGAGATGTTGCCTCAACACGGCGATACCAAACATGTGGAGACAAGGCAATGCCCCTAGAAATGGAAGATCTTCAATGACCAAACAGTTGGGAAAAAGGAAGAGTTGGTCAACAGAAATGTGCATTGTTTATGGACATTGCAATATGCAATCATAGGAATATATAGGAATTATTTCTCTCCAACATGCCCTGCATGAAGAACCATTAGCAAGGAAGCAAGGGATTTTGCTCCTGAGCTGGTCTTCGGACCGCACATGGCGTCTCAATTTCTGTGACCAAACCATGCAATTCTCGGAGCCTGGAATTCTGAGCCCCTGAAAGAAAGGAGGCGTTGAAGGAAGGGAACCGATGGCTTCGGCTATGCCAAATTTCTATCCATCGCTCCATACATCAGTGGGCGCCACCGTCATCTTGGTTTACTGGAACTCCACTGGGAGCACGGGCCTATTTTCTAACCAGCGCAAGAAGCTATCCCCATTTTGGATTGCTAAAACTGGACCAGCCACTTGATGCCACTTGCGCACTGTTAAACATATACGAATCAATCATAAACAAACACAAACAAATCACTTTTAATCAAATTTAACATACTCTCCAGCAACTTCCAAGTCACTGTGAGCATGGCCCTCCCCATACCCGCAACCCGGGCTAACTCCTCCCAAGCACCACTGCAAAGTGCGGCTGGTAGCAGCTGGGACCAGGCGAGAAAGTACTGCCTGGGATTTGGATATGTTTTAGGTAGCAGCTAGCTACTAGTTTGGGAATGTTTGGGATATGTGTGAGATAATTATGTTTGGGATCTCACCATCATATGTTTGGATATGTTTGGTATCTGATTTGGTATCTGATTCTCCCCATCCACCGCCATTTCCTGCCTCTGCTTGATGCCCAACTCCCTCACCTCCAGCTGCCCGGCCACTCCAAGCTTCGCCAGCGACGACGCCAAAATCCCACGCCGCGGCAGGTCATCTGCCAAGGCTGCCAGCACCGTTCCCGTGGCCAGCCACTCGTAGACCAGCCCCAAAAACGTGGCGTCGCGGATCTGCACACGGGCACAACCTGGGCTTTTCCGCAAACTGATGAACATAGGTTTTTTTTGGCAAACTGTACCAGAAAAATAGATAGGTTTTTGATTTGGGTACTGTAATTTGAACGATTTTTGAAATATGTAGTTTGGGGCCTGGGGGAATGTTTCGAATTGGGTCCCAACTAGCCACGTTAAACTCGTATTGCGCCGCGAGAAAAGACACATCTGGAACATGTGACCCGCAACATGGATTTATCATTATGTTTACAGTAGTCAAAACTAAGGTGCAGAAAATCATGCGTGACCAAAACCAGACTGAAACCAGTCTATGTAGGCACTGCAAGATACAAAAGGTTGAGGTTGAAAAGGGGGTTCTGGGTTGGTAAAACTGAGGGATGTTCCTGTCCGCAACAGGCGTCATTGCACCGAGGCATTTCTGTGTTTTTTTTAAGACACGCGGAAACCACCCCAGAGATGTATAAAGAGAATATGGATGAATCTGGATTAGACTATATATATATATATGCATGAATATAATTATGATATATTATGATTGTAATCTACCTCCTGGCAAGCAAACATGGCAGTTTTCCACCATGTTCCATGGGATAATCATCAATAACAAATGGGGGATTTTCCATTGCCGCACGAGATTACTGGAAGGTAGATTGAAAGATGCAATTGAAATCAATTATATAAACAATCTTGAACAAATCGAACATCATCGTTTTAGGGGCAACCATACGACATCTAGTAACCCAACTTGGACGCTGGTCTTGTTACTTCCACCATCCTCCGGTCCAGGAGCAGTTGAGGACCACAATGGTGGTGTGCAACAAGGTCATCTGATCCACTGCTGCCGGATCTTCTGCGAATAGCCTCAGCACTAGGGGATTTCATGGGCCAGTCATCCCCTACAAACAGCGGTAGCATCACAAACAAACCGTCATGGGCCTTCCGTATCGAGAAAGGAAAACACACATACGTTTATTCTATACACATCGTATCTTAAGCAATATCTAGCAATAGTCCAAGAGAATCTTCCATGTTACAGATGTCACCCAACATGTTTTCCCATGTTTTCCTCACATCCAGGCCTGTCAGGTTCATCACCATCCCCCCATCCTCCTTGCCATGGCACCTGGAGGTCTCGCGCATCACCACCGTCCAGGCCTCACGCTCGCCTTCCAGATCCGTTTGCTCCGACCCGGCTTTGCTCAAGGTACTGCTGACCGCCATGAGCTCCGGACAGCTGAGACCAGACATGCGCTGACCCACCTGGGAGTTGCTGCGGCCCAAAAAGATTGTATGTCATATATATATATATATATATATCCGCCGACCCCAGCAAACGGCAGGGGGAGCGCGCCCGAGAAAAAGTTGTAGCCTGCCCTCAAACGCTCCGCAGCGCCTTTGCCGGCGCTTTTGGCCATCTGCCGGGCCTTTGCCCAGTACTGCGGGCCTTTGCGCACAACTTTTCTAGTGGCTTCAGAAAGCAACGTTAGGCACTCGCCTGCCTTCAAACCCTCCGCAGCGCCTTGGCCGGCGCTTTGTGGCCATCTGCCGGGCCTTTGACCAGACTTTTCGACTTTTCTAGTAGCTTCAGAAAGCAACGTTAGGCACTAGCCTGGCTTCAAGCCCTGCGCAGCGCCTTGGCGGGCGCTTCGTGGCCAGCTGCCGGGCCTGTGCTCGAGCTTTTCCATCTTTTCTAGTGGCTTCAGAAAGCAACGTTAGGCACTAGCCTGGCTTCAAGCCCTCCGCAGCGCCTTGGTGGGCGCTTTGTGGCCAGCTGCCGGGCCTGTGCTCGAGCTTTTCCAGTCTTTTCTAGTGGCTTCAGAAAGCAGCGTTAGGCACTAGCCTGGCTTCAAACCCTCCGCAGCGCCTGGGCGGGCGCTTCGTGGCCAGCTGCCGGGCCTGTGCTCCAGCTTTGCCAGTCTTTTCGAGTCACTTCAGAACGCAACGTTAGGCAGTAGCCTGGCTTCAAACCCTCCGCAGCGCCTTGGCGGGCGCTTCGTGGCCAGCTGCCGGGCCTGTGCTCCAGCTTTTCCAGTCTTTTCTAGTGGCTTCAGAAAGCAACGTTAGGCACTAGCCTGGCTTCAAACCCTCCGCAGCGCCTTGGTGGGCGCTTTGTGGCCAGCTGCCGGGCCTGTGCTCGAGCTTTTCCAGTCTTTTCTAGTGGCTTCACAAAGCAGCGTTAGACACTAGCCTGGCTTCAAACCCTCCGCAGCGCCTGGGCGGGCGCTTCGTGGCCAGCTGCCGGGCCTGTGCTCCAGCTTTTCCAGTCTTTTCTAGTAGCTTCAGAACGCAACGTTAGGCACTAGCCTGGCTTCAAACCCTCCGCAGCGCCTTGGCGGGCGCTTCGTGGCCAGCTGCCGGGCCTGTGCTCCAGCTTTTCCAGTGGCTTCAGAAAGCAACGTTAGGCACTAGCCTGGCTTCAAACCCTCCGCAGCGCCTGGGCGGGCGCTTTGTGGCCAGCTGCCGGGCCTGTGCTCCAGCTTTTCCAGTCTTTTCTAGTGGCTTCAGAAAGCAACGTTAGGCACTAGCCTGGCTTCAAACCCTCCGCAGCGCCTGGGCGGGCGCTTTGTGGCCAGCTGCCGGGCCTCTGCTCGAGCTTTTCCAATCTTTTCTAGTGGCGTCACAAAGCAACGTTAGGCACTAGCCTGGTTTCAAACCCTCCGCAGCGCCTGGGCGGGCGCTTTGTGGCCAGCTGCCGGGCCTGTGCTCCAGCTTTTCCAGTCTTTTCTAGTAGCTTCAGAAAGCAACGTTAGGCACTAGCCTGGCTTCAAACCCTCCGCAGCGCCTGGGCGGGCGCTTTGTGGCCAGCTGCCGGGCCTCTGCTCGAGCTTTTCCAATCTTTTCTAGTGGCTGCAGAAAGCAACGTTAGGCACTAGCCCGGCCTCAAACCCTCCGCAGCGCCGTGGCGGGCGCTTTGTGGCCAGCTGCTGGGCCTGTGCTCCAGCTTTTCCAGTCTTTTCTAGTGGCTTCAGAAAGCAACGTTAGGCACTAGCTCGGCCTCAAACCCTTCGCAGCGCCTTGGCGGGCGCTTTGTGGCCAGCTGCCGGGCCTGTGCTCCAGCTTTTCCAGTCTTTTCTAGTGGCTTCAGAAAGCAACGTTAGGCACTAGCCCGGCCTCAAACCCTCCGCAGCGCCTTGGCGGGCGCTTCGTGGCCAGCTGCCGGGCCTGTGCTCCAGCTTTTCCAGCTTTTCTAGTCTTTTCTAGTGGCTTCAGAAAGCAACGTTAGGCACTTGCCCGGCCTCAAACCCTCCGCAGCGCCTTGGCGGGCGCTTCGTGGCCAGCTGCCGGGCCTGTGCTCCACCTTTTCTAGTCTTTTCTAGTGGCTGCAGAAAGCAACGTTAGGCACTAGCCCGGCCTCAAACCCTCCGCAGCGCCTTGGCGGGCGCTTTGTGGCCAGCTGCTGGGCCTGTGCTCCAGCTTTTCCAGTCTTTTCTAGTGGCTTCAGAAAGCAACGTTAGGCACTAGCCCGGCCTCAAACCCTCCGCAGCGCCTTGGCGGGCGCTTCGTGGCCAGCTGCCGGGCCTGTGCTCCAGCTTTTCCAGTCTTTTCTAGTGGCTTCAGAAAGCAACGTTAGGCACTAGCCCGGCCTCAAACCCTCCGCAGCGCCTTGGCGGGCGCTTCGTGGCCAGCTGCCGGGCCTGTGCTCCAGCTTTTCCAGTCTTTTCTAGTGGCTTCAGAAAGCAACGTTAGGCACTAGCCCGGCCTCAAACCCTCCGCAGCGCCTTGGCGGGCGCTTCGTGGCCAGCTGCTGGGCCTGTGCTCCAGCTTTTCCAGTCTTTTCTAGTGGCTTCAGAAAGCAACGTTAGGCACTAGCCCGGCCTCAAACCCTCCGCAGCGCCTTGGCGGGCGCTTTGTGGCCAGCTGCTGGGCCTGTGCTCCAGCTTTTCCAGTCTTTTCTAGTGGCTTCAGAAAGCAACGTTAGGCACTAGCCCGGCCTCAAACCCTCCGCAGCGCCTTGGCGGGCGCTTTGTGGCCAGCTGCCGGGCCTGTGCTCCAGCTTTTCCAAGTCTTTTCTAGTGGCTTCAGAAAGCAACGTTAGGCACTAGCCCGGCCTCAAACCCTCCGCAGCGCCTTGGCGGGCGCTTCGTGGCCAGCTGCCGGGCCTGTACTCCAGCTTTTCTAATCAGTCTAGTGGCTTCAGAAAGCAACGTTAGGCACTAGCCCGGCTTCAAACCCTCCGCAGCGCCTTGGCGGGCGCTTCGTGGCCAGCTGCCGGGCCTGTGCTCCAGCTTTTCCAGTCTTTTCTAGTGGCTTCAGAAAGCAACGTTAGGCACTAGCCCGGCCCCAAACCCTCCGCAGCGCCTTGGCGGGCGCTTTGTGGCCAGCTGCCGGGCCTGTGCTCCAGCTTTTCCAGTCTTTTCTAGTGGCTTGAGAAAGCAACGTTAGGCACTAGCCTGGCTTCAAACACTCCGCCGCGCCTTGGCGGGCGCTTTGTGGCCAGCTGCCGGGCCTGTGCTCCAGCTTTTCCAGTCTTTTCTAGTGGCTTCAGAAAGCAACGTTAGGCACTCGCCCGGCCTCAAACCCTCCGCAGCGCCTTGGCGGGCGCTTTGTGGCCAGCTGCCGGGCCTGTGCTCCAGCTTTTCCAGTCTTTTCTAGTGGCTTCAGAAAGCAACGTTAGGCACTAGCCCGGCTTCAAACCCTCCGCAGCGCCTTGGCGGGCGCTTCGTGGCCAGCTGCCGGGCCTGTGCTCCAGCTTTTCCAGTCTTTTCTAGTGGCTTCAGAAAGCAACGTTAGGCACTAGCCTGGCTTCAAGCCCTGCGCAGCGCCAGCTGCCGGGCCTCTGCTCGAGCTTTTCCATCTTTTCTAGTGGCTTCAGAAAGCAACGTTAGGCACTAGCCTGGCTTCAAACCCTCCGCAGCGCCTTGGCGGGCGCTTTGTGGCCAGCTGCCGGGCCTGTGCTCCAGCTTTTCCAGTCTTTTCTAGTAGCTTCAGAAAGCAACGTTAGGCACTAGCCCGGCCTCAAACCCTCCGCAGCGCCTGGGCGGGCGCTTTGTGGCCAGCTGCCGGGCCTCTGCTCGAGCTTTTCCAATCTTTTCTAGTGGCTGCAGAAAGCAACGTTAGGCACTAGCCCGGCTTCATTCCGCAGCGCCGTGGCGGGCGCTTTGTGGCCAGCTGCTGGGCCTGTGCTCCAGCTTTTCCAGTCTTTTCTAGTGGCTTCAGAAAGCAACGTTAGGCACTAGCCTGGCTTCAAACCCTCCGCAGCGCCTTGGCGGGCGCTTTGTGGCCAGCTGCCGGGCCTGTGCTCCAGCTTTTCCAGTCTTTTCTAGTAGCTTCAGAAAGCAACGTTAGGCACTAGCTCGGCCTCAAACCCTCCGCAGCGCCTGGGCGGGCGCTTTGTGGCCAGCTGCCGGGCCTCTGCTCGAGCTTTTCCAATCTTTTCTAGTGGCTGCAGAAAGCAACGTTAGGCACTAGCCCGGCTTCAAGCGCCGTGGCGGGCGCTTTGTGGCCAGCTGCTGGGCCTGTGCTCCAGCTGTCGCTTCAGAAAGCAACGTTAGGCACTAGCGGCCTCAAACCCTTCGCAGCGCCTTGGCGGGCGCTTTGTGGCCAGCTGCCGGGCCTGTGCTCCAGCTTTTCCAGTCTTTTCTAGTGGCTTCAGAAAGCAACGTTAGGCACTAGCCCGGCCTCAAACCCTCCGCAGCGCCTTGGCGGGCGCTTCGTGGCCAGCTGCCGGGCCTGTGCTCCAGCTTTTCCAGCTTTTCTAGTGGCTTCAGAAAGCAACGTTAGGCACTTGCCCGGCCTCAAGCCCTCCGCAGCGCCTTGGCGGGCGCTTCGTGGCCAGCTGCCGGGCCTGTGCTCCACCTTTTCTAGTCTTTTCTAGTGGCTGCAGAAAGCAACGTTAGGCACTAGCCTGGCCTCAAACCCTCCGCAGCGCCTTGGCGGGCGCTTTGTGGCCAGCTGCTGGGCCTGTGCTCCAGCTTTTCCAGTCTTTTCTAGTGGCTTCAGAAAGCAACGTTAGGCACTAGCCCGGCGTCAAACCCTCCGCAGCGCCTTGGCGGGCGCTTCGTGGCCAGCTGCCGGGCCTGTGCTCCAGCTTTTCCAGTCTTTTCTAGTGGCTTCAGAAAGCAACGTTAGGCACTAGCCCGGCCTCAAACCCTCCGCAGCGCCTTGGCGGGCGCTTCGTGGCCAGCTGCCGGGCCTGTGCTCCAGCTTTTCCAGTCTTTTCTAGTGGCTTCAGAAAGCAACGTTAGGCACTAGCCCGGCCTCAAACCCTCCGCAGCGCCTTGGCGGGCGCTTCGTGGCCAGCTGCCGGGCCTGTGCTCCAGCTTTTCCAGCTTTTCTAGTCTTTTCTAGTGGCTTCAGAAAGCAACGTTAGGCACTAGCCCGGCCTCAAACCCTCCGCAGCGCCTTGGCGGGCGCTTCGTGGCCAGCTGCCGGGCCTGTGCTCCAGCTTTTCTAATCTTTTCTAGTGGCTTCAGAAAGCAACGTTAGGCACTAGCCTGGCGTCAAACCCTCCGCAGCGCCTTGGCGGGCGCTTCGTGGCCAGCTGCCGGGCCTGTGCTCCAGCTTTTCCAACTTTTCTAGTCTTTTCTAGTGGCTTCAGAAAGCAACGTTAGGCACTAGCCCGGCCCCAAACCCTCCGCAGCGCCTTGGCGGGCGCTTTGTGGCCAGCTGCCGGGCCTGTGCTCCAGCTTTTCCAGTCTTTTCTAGTGGCTTGAGAAAGCAACGTTAGGCACTAGCCTGGCTTCAAATACTCCGCCGCGCCTTGGCGGGCGCTTTGTGGCCAGCTGCCGGGCCTGTGCTCCAGCTTTTCCAGTCTTTTCTAGTGGCTTCAGAAAGCAACGTTAGGCACTCGCCCGGCCTCAAACCCTCCGCAGCGCCTTGGCGGGCGCTTTGTGGCCAGCTGCCGGGCCTGTGCTCCAGCTTTTCCAGTCTTTTCTAGTGGCTTCAGAAAGCAACGTTAGGCACTAGCCCGGCCTCAAACCCTCCGCAGCGCCTTGGCGGGCGCTTCGTGGCCAGCTGCCGGGCCTGTGCTCCAGCTTTTCCATCTTTTCTAGTGGCTTCAGAAAGCAACGTTAGGCACTAGCCTGGCTTCAAGCCCTGCGCAGCGCCTTGGCGGGCGCTTCGTGGCCAGCTGCCGGGCCTGTGCTCGAGCTTTTCCATCTTTTCTAGTGGCTTCAGAAAGCAACGTTAGGCACTAGCCTGGCTTCAAACCCTCCGCCGCGCCTTGGCGGGCGCTTTGTGGCCAGCTGCCGGGCCTGTGCTCCAGCTTTTCGAGTCTTTTCTAGTGGCTTCAGAAAGCAACGTTAGGCACCAGCCCGGCCTCAAACCCTGCGCAGCGCCTTGGCGGGCGCTTTGTGGCCAGCTGCCGGGCCTGTGCTCCAGCTTTTCCAGTCTTTTCTAGTGGCTTCAGAAAGCAACGTTAGGCACTAGCCCGGCACTCCACGCTTTGTACTCCACCCTCCACACTCTACACTCCACACTTTCGACTCCACACTTTCCACTCCACGCTGTACACTCCAAAGTTTGCACTCCACGCTTTGCGCTCTACACTTGACACTCCACACCCTGCACTTCACACTCCCAACTTTCGACTCCACACTCTACACTTTACACTCCACACTTTACACTCTACACTCCACACTCCCCACTTTAGACTCCACACTCAACATTACACTCCGCACTTTACACTCCACACTTTACACTCTACACTTTAGACTCCACACTCTACACTTTGCACTCCACACTTGACACTGTACACCCCCTTTTACACTCCACATTTTCCGCTCTACACTTTACACTCCGCCCTTTACACTCCACACTTTCCACTCCACACTTTCCACTCTACACTCGGTACTTGTACTCCACACTCCACACTCTACACTCCACACTCCACACTTCAGTCTCACAGTCTACACTTGACACTCTCCGCACTCACACTCTACACTCCACACTTCATACTCCACATTTTACACTCCACACTCTACACATGGATCGAAAAAACTAACCCCTGTTCGGGGTTCTCCTTGTTCAGGAGACTACGTACTGTTTGCTGAGCGCCCGACCGGCCCTTGTTCAGGGCTCTCCTTGTTCAGGAGATGCCAGGGGTCGGCGGCAGGGGGCGGCAGCCCTTAAATATGTATATATATATAATGTATTTATACATATTTATTGGATATCATAGATGTGTGTGTATATTGATGATGTAATACGTATATTAATACGTATATATATATAATGTTCTTACGATATATAGTATATCATTGAGTATTTGTTTCATTATATGCTTATATAATATTATTATATAAATGTGCATTCTAAGTAAATAATATCCCCTTAAGATTCCCAAATGGATCCAAAGTGATCCAAATGGTGGATTGCCTGGTAGAGCTGATGATGGAGGAACAAACAAAACAAACTTGAACAAATCCAGGGAACGGTGAGCTCTTGGATCAAGAGGTTTAAAAGGCAGTTGAAGAGGCTGGGGGTCACACCAAAGCCATCCTCCTCATACCTGAAATGTGAATCACTAAATCAGGCAGTGAAGGTTATGAAGGTGGCTGAGTTTTTATTGAGCCACCAAGAAGGTTGTAGATGGCAGGCACAATAAACGCCTCCTTCTAGTGAAGTGGGCACTGGGAAGGGGCAAGCATGGTGAAAGGATGCGCAAACTACGTTCACCTACCGGCTTTCTATCCCGTTCTATCCCAATGAGGTTTATTTGTTTGACAATCTCCATTCATCTCCATTCTATATTATTGTTCTTTGATTTTCGCTTGAAAACTGCTTCGAATAACACATCTCAAGCTCATGATGAAATGCCCTGGCTTAACTCTTCTCTCCAACCAAGTCACATGGTCACGGCGGAATGCACAGCAGAGACCAAATCCAAGACCGTAAAGCTCCTGTGATCATCCAACAAACGCCAGAGCAAGCGCTGTGTCAGCTCCTGCACTCCCAAATGCTTGATGCGTGACAGAGCCCGCAGCAGTTGAGAGATGTTCAACCCGGAAATGGCGAGATTTCCTGCACGGTTTGGCCGAATGTGGGACGGCGTTTTGGAGTCCAAGACTCTTGGTATCTGGTTGGTTTATGCCCACTTCGGGTTGGTCACTGACCCGCTGTTCTCATTGATCAGTGGTGAAACGTACAGGTTCTCCAACTGTTGGTACAAGCACCTGTTGGCCCAATCCCACATGGCTCGTGTGACCTACCGTCATCATGGTCATGTCGACCAGCGAGGTTCATCACATCATTTAATGACAACCCCCGGTTAATCAACTCTGACAATTGGTCCCCCTCAACTTAACAATCTGGGAGGTTACCATGGTTTTGCAAAATTAATTCACTATAACTATAATCCACTCCTAAAATTAGGCACCCATCAAATGGTTCCAAATACGTGTAATTTCCTTACTAAACCATGTTTCTGGTGGGTGTTTCAAATGAACGGGGGCAACACATTGTATAGACATTCATTGATAGTTTAAATTTCATAATATAATTCTTCCATAATTCAATATATATATATAATATTATATTATATATATGTATATATATAATATATATATATAATATCCCATATCACACAATATATATATAATTATAATTATATATATTACATCCCCTTTTTTCATCCCTGAAATGGAAGGGAATGACCGGGGACTCCGCCCTTCCGTGGCCAGTTTCGATTCAGTTGTTCCATGGCAAAGTGGATGATCCCTTCACAAACAGTGTCGACGGCGGGCGTAGCATCCACCGAGCTAAGGGCACCAAGGGCGACCTCAGCCATCAACTCACAGATCTTTGAAAATTTTGTGATTTCTGATGATTTGGATGATTTTTATGATTCTTTATGATGATTTCTGATGATTTATGAATTTTTATGATGATTTGGGTGGGAAACTGTTGACATCTGTTGACCATTTAAGGCATAGTTTGGGTCCCAGTGTGGGTCCTTTTCGGCTCAAGCTGGACCTTGGGTCGATGCTGGGAGTCCCAGGCAACCCAGTCGGAGATGTTGGGATCCTTTCCACCTCAGCGCAGGGATGACAAAGATTTGGATGTATACTGTGGAATATAATAATACATTTATATACATCCAATTAACATGGATATTTTGATAACATGGATATACTGTATATATATACAATTATATATATATATATAATTATGATTAATTAGGTATACATAATTACACAGAATCATATAGATAGACATGTATCATCTACGTATATGCATGTATATACACTCCACCCAAAAAACTGTAATGCCGAATCGTGGTTCCCAAACACATACTGTAGATCGTAGCGCATGATTTCTGAAGCCTTTTTCAACGCGGCGCCGTATAGAAGTGGAGGTTTCCAACCAATGGGGGTATCCCTAAATCATCCATTGATGGATTTTCCATTGTAAACCACGCTGAAGGCATCTGGAGGCTGGAGATCCTCCATAAAAATGGAAACCCCCAAGTGGCAAAAGCTTTATGGAAATCCCATGATCTTTCTTGTTAATTGAGACTTTCATCATTCAGTTCCTAATCAAAGCTGCAAAGGTCTCTCTCCACAGGAGTAAAAAACCAAAACAACCACCACACTTCGCCAGTGGTTTTCCTTGTGTATCTCACTGCCTGTTGGTGTGTTGGTAGTGAAGCCTAAACAGCTGGTAAATGCAAAGGCTGGTTTTCACCTATTCAGATGGCACCCTCGAAATCCATCGGTTCAGAAAACGGTCTTCCCCATTAAAAAATGCAACACATATTGTTTGTACCGGAAATCTCTCGTTTTCAAAGACACTCACAAACATACTTTGATGGTGATATCCCACATTCTATCCCCACATCCAGTAAAACCCCATCAATCCCCCGCAACAAAAATGCCATAGAATCATCTGAATTCCCAATGATTCCCATTCTATGCCCGTAAATTTCTAGGGGTTTCATGGGTCTCCTACCTCGCTGAAGCGCTTGATGAAGGATGGGCGCCAAAGCTTCGACCAAGCCATTCTCCAGGCATTGCGCCTTCAGCCGTTTGGAGCTTGGGTGGTTTTCAATATCATATCATATCATATATATATATATTAATGTCTTTAATATTTACATATATATATAATAATGATGATGATAACAATAGTATATACATATAATATAATATAATACAATACAATATAATTATATATAATTATAGTATAATATAATATAGTATAATATAATATAATATAACATAATATAATATAATATAATTATTATATAATATAATATAGTATAAAATAAAATAATATAATCTAATATAATAAATATAAGTATTATATTATATCATCATATATAATATTATATATAATTATATGATATAAACTATTTGTATACATATATATATATATGTACATATCATATATATATAATCATATATATAATTTCATATATATATATATCATATTATATATACTTATATATGCTATTATATATATATCATATATCCTTACTATTTGTACGTATGTTTTGTATGTGATATATTCGTATAAATTATATACTATATATATATGCTAATATTCATATTTTGTCGTTACCTAACTCTATACCCAGTGAGAATCCAATAACCGGCGATGGATTTTCCAGCCAGGTGGAGATGGTCCTAGATCATTCACACACGTTGTTGGTTATGTTGGGCATTTATGCGCATAAAATCACATACAGTATATATGTAGAACATATCATGACAAATTATGATACCAATGATACCTCTAATTTTCGACTATTGACTATTGTAATATAGTTGTAGTACAAACAATGATAGTAAAGTGTTATACTAGTGTTGTAGTATAGTTGTAATTTAGTCTACTATTTCTAGTACTGTTTGGTTATTGACTGTTTGGTAATCATGCAATGATAGAACACTGGTTGGTGGTTTTAAACCATCTTGAAAAATCTGAGTTCGTCAATGGGGTTGGGATGACATCCCATATATGAAATGGAAAATAAAAAATGCTCCAAACCACCAACCAGGAACTACCAAACAGTCTCCCAGAGATCCCCCAGAAATCCACCTGTGAGAAGGACTGCATGAGGTAAATGCCCTGCTTGGCGCTGACCTTCCTCGGCTCGCCACGCGTACGGTTGGGGTCGTTGTGGGCCCCAAAGGCGGGAAAAAAATCATGGGAGTTGAACGGTTTGACTAAGCGAAATGGAAAAGAAATGAATGGTTTACATAATATGGTTAATCCGTTTAACCAACCTAATGATGGGTTTGACATGGTTTAACCAACCTCCATGGAGCGGAAATGAATGATGGGTTTAACCAAGCGAAATGGATCAGAAATGGATGATCTATATAATATATTCTAATATAATTCAAACAATAAAAAAAACAAAATGGAGATTGAACCAAGCAGCAAAAACGGGATTTGACGTGATTGGACCTGACCGGACCTGACCTGACCAACCAAACTCCGGGGGGAGTGCTTAAACCAAATGAGGATCTAACCAATCAACCTTGGGAAGTCCCTGCAACCACGGCAGTCGGGACATCAAAAAGCCATGAGTTTCCACTTACAGCCGAGTTGTCCCAAAAGTCTCCAGCCCCTAATTTCCTAAACAGTCCAAGTCCATAGGTGCAAACCGCAGCCCAAAGCGATCACATACGTCACATCTAGCATCACAACTCTCCCATGCCTGCGATGCTTACGGATGTCCCCAAGCAACATCAGCTTCTGTGAGGTTCAACCGCTAGTCAACCTCCAAAATGTGTAGAAGGTGATGCTTTAAACCTCCCCATACCTCCCCCAAACAAACACATCTAGCGACCCCGGACAAATCACAGCACTCCATAGCACTCCCCCGGGCCGAGTGACCGATTCAGCAGTATGTTCTGGGCCAAGAGCCCGTAGATTTCCGGGTCGAAGATCTTCATCCTGCCAGCGTCTCCTTGAGGATCCCTGAAGAAACACAGGATTTTGGTGGATTTTCACCAAGGTTTTTTTAGGTTCAAACAAGATAAATGGGGAATCTACCAACAGAAGTTGGGATGTTGATACCCGGAAATCGGGATTTTTGGAATTGCGACTTACTTTTTTCATCTTTTTTCGGGGTCCCAATCAACTGGCACATAACTATCAGGGGCCCATGGTTCTAGATGGTTGGGAATGGGAAGAGAATCAATTTGAGAGCTTGCTTTTATAACATATAGTAGCTACTGTACTTAAGCTACCCTGCAGAAAAGACGTGTCTCTTTATTTGGCAAAAGATTAATCCCAGAATTGGAGGAAGGGGAAATCTACAGGAAAAGAGTCGGAGGTAAAAGCAATGGTTTTCAAAAGCAATCCATTGAATTAAACATCAAAGTAACTAGCCATTAAAAATTACCCATGTTTACCCTGTCAAGGCAAGGTGTCTGGGTTCTGGTCTCAACGCTAGCTGCCTTTCGCAAGCCTGCCGGGCCTTGCCAAGGAAGAAGCGGTGTATAGGACGTCCTACGAGAGACCGAGGTGGAATGGGTTCACCATGGTTCACCCACGGTGGAAGAGAAACCCCATGACATCAATGATGGCAAAATGGCAAATGATGACAATAATGATTGTTAATAATCATATCAAATTATTAACCATCATTATTAAATGATGTTTAAACACAAATATCTGACACGTTTGAAATATCAAATATCTGACAATAACGGAGCAATCAGCGGCATGTCAATGGTGTCCAGCACCTTTTCCTGAGTTTCCGACCAATGGCACCATCTTTGCAATGACCTGCACTATGTCCAGGTCGACTGGCAGCTCAAAAGTGCTGGGTATGGCTTGGATGTCTGCACCTTGATGCACTAAGCTGAGACTAGCTCAGATTGTTGCGCCTGTGGCTTTTCCTTCAAGTAATGAGCCAAACTTTTGAGCCTCAGATGGCTCAATTGCTTTTTCTTTGAACCCTTTCATGGAAGCCAACAGACTGAGGTGGTGCTTGTGTTTGGCATCCCCAACATGAAACCTCAGAAAGTGTGGCCAATGTTCAATAGTTTTGTGAATAGGTCCCTGTGTAGTTTCCATCTTAAATGTTGAGCGTGCAACTGAAAATTCTTAGCTTGATCAAAACCTCTGAGTCAAGCGCAACGGCTCATGTCTCACGCGCGTTTTCGCGAAGGCCTTGGGATACAAAGGTAACGTCTCCAGATGACGGAGATCTGTGACAAGCAACAGTCTAAACACCTGAATTTTGGCACGTCAATGACAGTCACGCCGGATCTCGGACATTTCCCAACAAAGACCTTCAAAAGCTACAAATTAGCAAATTAGCCCATTGACCGACCCGAACTTCAACTTAGACCTTTCCTTGATAATGCTTTGGGTTGTTTCCAAAAGCTTCAGATGCGGAAATCAACCCAAATTCATTCAAGTACTCAAAACCTTAGGTTTAGGGTTTACGGAGTTCAAAAGAAATGTGTATGTAAGATTATGTAAGTATACAGATATATACAATATGTATATATATAATATCTATAAAAATATAGATACATATATATCATATATCATATAGTGACTATCAAACATCTCTCTGAGTTTTCTGGCAAGTTCTTGCAGTAAGTTCCAGACACTGAGCAAATTCACAATCTCTTGCGTGGAAAAACGATGAAAGCCTCCACCAGTGGCAGGTTAGCAGGTCAGCAGTGAAACGTATGGGAGAGAACGACATAAGTACATATTCAATATAAGTATTGTATGTAGCATATATCACATATCATGGATATTCATGTATCAAATAGCCTATATAATCGATTTTTTATATATATGTATAATGTAAGTGTATGTATATATATAATACACAACATGATATAATATAATATAATATAACGTAATACAATACAATACAATACAATACAAATACAATACAATACAACACAACACAACACAATACAATACAATATATAATATAATATAATATAATAATATAATATAATATAATATAATATAATATAATATAATAATTACAGTATAATGTTATATTCTATAGACACATTCTAATATATGCAGCCTATTATGATTTATGATATGCAACTCCTTAGCACGGAAGTCTTCAGGTCATCCAAATTCATGTTCAAAAAGCCTTGACTCGAGAAGAGCTCTTCCGCAATGGCCCGCAACAATGGAGCTGCCTGCATCATCTTCGAAGTTAAGCTGCTTGATGATGCTTGTCTTTATATTTGATCGCTGGGTTTGGTGCAAGGCATGGGATGATATCTTAACTGGAGATCGTGAGTTTCCACTAGATATTGGGTTCTGATGAATTTCACTTCCTCCAAGACTTTTGGATGACACTAACCTACACTACCCCAAAATCCCATGGTCAAGCATCATTTTATCGGTTAAATTTGCAATGAATCCCCGTTTCTATGAATTTTCAGGTAGCTTTTCTAAACCCAAACCCACATGTTTGACCTTTTTGTTGGTAAACTCCCCAATTCCTGCTGGTTCAACCCAAATTAAACCTTGATATTTTCATAGATGTTCCACATTTCTGTTGCTTCGCTCACTTCACTCCCATGTTTTTCACAGATTTCTGTTGTTGAACTCTCCACCAGCTCTGGGCTCTGCCTCGGGGTGTTGCAAACGTGCGTAGGCCCAGGCCAGAGCTGCGAGATGCGCAGGCTCCATCTGGGACCTGGATGTCCATCGACTTCCGTTGAAGTTGACATGTTGAATTGTCTAATTGATATGGGATAATGGAGGGTTAACTATGGTTAACATATGGATAATATGGGATAATAGTGTTTATTATGGGATATATCCCTATTGTAGGTTTCCTAAAATGGGGGTACCCCTAAATCATCCATTTCAATAGGTGTTTTTTTCATTGTAAACCATCCATCTTGGGTACCCCCATTTATGGAAACCCCTCTATGGTAAAGCCAACCCTAAAACTAAGTTGTCTAAGATGGTACAGAAAATACAAAACTAGCATTTGGGGGATGATTTTGACCATCTATTCATGGCAACGTTGGGAATGGTTTATTGTTCGGTCTGCACATCCGAATCCAAGTAGTGAAACTGGTTGATGACCGGGGATCCCCCGGGGAGGAAAACGAATAGGTTCCGCCCATTTTCTGCCGAAATTTGTGCACCTAACAGAAAGGTCCAGAGCCACGGTCAGGTCTGTACTTCGGTATGGGAAAATTGAAACGTGACCCTCGATCGGATAAGAATGAAAACACCTGTCCTGGATTTATTGAACTTTGTCAATGTCCCAACCGGCGTCTCAACCACCTATCCAGTGGATATCCCAGATCTTTTGGATGCATGTTTTTTGGCAGTGATATCCTCATTCTTGCGGGTGGTCTTCATCCCAAATAAGTGGGCCTCTTTCTGAGTATATCTTGGAAAGTGGAGTTAGAAACTGTGCAGTACATGCAGCTCTCAGCTCCAGCTTGTAAGTGCCAGACAGCTTCGCATTTCTGGCGAGTTGGAGAAGTAGTTCCTGTCCAGCACGCCTCAGCCGGTCTAGCTGGTCCTCCCAAGGGGGTCTTGACCCCCCAGGAGGACCCCAGGGGCCACCTGTGGCTACGACCCACCAGCATCCAACTTGGCAAAAGCATTGGCCAAATTGGCCACATCCTGAGAGCACACAATGGGACAATATGTAAGTTGTAATATGTATATCATAATACCCAATTTATCACAACTATATGGCTATATACTATATACTATGCATAGTGAATATATATATATAATTATATGTATATAATTATATGTACATATATATATATATATGTATATAATTGTATATATATATGTAAAGTTTGTTGTCTCAACGCTCAGCGAACTGGAGAACCACTTGTCACCCAAAGCTTCCATGCCTGAGAAACCAGCTCGTCGACAGACTGCACCGCCAAATTTGCCACATCTTCAAACAAAGCATCGCACACCTAACGAAAGCACTCGCAGCCATGGGCTCAGGATCTCGCTTCAAGTAGCCTCTAGTGACACTACAAATAGTGGCTAAAAAACCATCCCATTTTTGTTTTTTTTTTGTTGTGGGGTTGGGGTTCAATTCCACCTGACAGAAAATCATGAAATCATGGATGACGAAAAACATCGCTAAATAAAACTGAAACGGAGGGGAAAATGGGGAATGGCACAGGGGCTTTCACTGCAGGTATGTTTTCGATGTAAGTCTCAAACAGAAACCTATGCCTTCCAAACTTGGCTTTCTGGAACATATCATTTATATGATTTTATATCCATGTAATTCCATGTATAGATGAATCTTCCCATCAATAATAGGCATGCAAACATGATCTTCATTATGATCACCCAACAAAAACACACACCTAGTACTTCTAACTTATAATTCTGTTCAAAATGGAGAGACTTGATAGAACAACGACTCGATAGATATTAACTGTTGTCTTCTTTAATCCTTCAAAAATGGTCGTGTCATCCAGAAACCAGATGAAACCAGAGCCGAGCAGCAGAAGCGGACACACCGCAGCGTGCATAGGCATTGGCCACCAAAGCTAACTCCTGGTGATTTTCAGTGATTTTATGGTGATAGTATGATTAGTATGATGATAGTTTGGTGATTTAGCAGCTGACGACGGTGATTTTGTGGTAATGCCTGGGGATCACTGAGCTACACAATTTCGATTGTCTGGACAATCCTTTATATTCCTTGGCAAAAATAAACAAAAAAACAACTTAGAAGTTTCATCAGTCGCTGAACAACTCAAAGAATGCAAAACAAATCCTATGAAATTCTCATTTAAAACATAGATTCTGTCACTCTGAATCAGTGATCCTACAATAATCCGCCAATCTTCCTCGGTTCCCAGCCCCCGTCCCTGGGATACAGCTCACCTCAGTTGGCCATGTCCATGGCATCATATTCAAGAGCGCCATGTGCATCGTATGATTCATAGTTGTGGAAAATAAAGCTTGAACACAAAACAATATATGAATATATGAATATGTATATATATACATGGTCTCATCGTCATCATCGTCATCATCGTTATCGTCATGGTCATGGTCATGGTCATGGGTCATCATCATCATCATCATCATCATCATCACTGCCACCATGGCTACCATCATTGATCACCAGCATTGATTACATCAGCAATCACCTTTACTGATCGCCATCAGTGATCATTCATTGTTCGTTCCCGCAATGATCTTCCATCATGATTGTTGTGTTTTTTTAATCAACACTATTCATAGCTATATTGCCTTACAGCTTTTTTTCAAAATAATGTACCCTAAAATAGCATTGTATGACTTGCTCCTCAAAAGATGAAAGCATCGTCCAGAAACCATCCAAAGTCTCTTGTTTCTGATGATTCTCTTTCTATGAGTTTGTCTGAAAATAGGATGCCCCCAACCCATAGCTAAACTTTCGCCATTGAAATAGCACAGATTCTCCCACATTTTTGGTCAGACCCAAGTATCATATTGCTGGGGAGATATCCCAGTATATTCTCATTCGACTCCCATGGTGAAATCCCCATTTTGTTGGTGAAATCGACCCAAGGCTTAGACCCAGCCAGCTCCGCAGCACGGGAACGAACTGCGCAAGGAGACCACTGTCACCTGAAAAGTTGGGCAATTCTTGAGCAGAATTCCAAGGAAAAATGGTGATTTGATAGGATTTAAATTTGAATTTGTTGGAATTTATAGGATCTTATAACATTTTATAAAATGTTCTGGAATTTACAGGAGACCATGGTGATAGAATGGGATATGCAACCCGGTTGGGGGAGGGCAGGGCGTGGAAAAACATTGCTATTGTTGTGGCATGTTGTGGCTATACCTGTGGGATTCTAACCTCCATAAGCTGGAACTGCACTCCCAAGTAGTTGATCTGAGGGATGCATGGAACCATCTTATAAGGAATATCATGTTGTACCAAGAAATCAAGGACTTGGAACTGACAACAACTTGGAATAAGTCTATAATGTGTATACTTATTTTATAGGTAAGGTTTGTTTCTTGTGTTGTACCAAGAGAAATATATGTATTAGACTGAATCAGACCTGTACAGGCCTATTCGATATTGGATTATCGTCTGAATCATCTGAACAAAAACAGGAATGTGCAGAAGGAATGAAAAACACATCAAATTCACAGCGCACCTCCGCCCAGTCGGAGTTTGGACAAGCCGTTCCTGAGACGAAAAACACATCAAAAAAAAACAAAACAAGCAACGCACAAAGTCCCTCGACTCCTTGACAAGAGGTATTATGTCATTGATCCAAAAGTCAACTACCCTCTGGTAAACTAACAGTTTGCTATTGAAAATGACCATAGAAATAGTGAGTTTTCCCATGAAACATGGGTGGATTTTCCATAGTTATGTGGCTGAGAATAGCTGACATCGCTCAGATATGCATGCTATGTCCCAAACAACACAAAAGCGCCATGAGAATCGCAACATGCACATATACATTCGCTGGTACCCTCTGGTAAACATACAAAAAGCTATTGAAAATGGCCATTGAAATAGTGGATTTTCCCATTAAAAATGGTGATTTTCCATAGCTATGTTAGTTTACCAGAGGGTATGTGGTTTGCACCCATCTCAAAAAAAACATGTTCAAATCAGCTTTTCATCTGGAATTGACTCGAAGGAAAATCGTATTCAGCTGGGTTTGTATGCTGATTGTGCATTCTGTTGCTCACTGTTGAAGTCCTTTGCTGCTTGTCAACTAATTTCCGGTGTAGGAATGTAATTACCCTCTGACAAGCAAGCAGGACATAGGACAATTCCAAGAATCTAGCATAGCTATGGAAATCGCCCATGTCCATTGGCTAAATCATGCAACAATTGGCCATGCTCCATAGCAATGTACCAAAATTACATCAAATTACCAGAGGGTCAGAACATGTTCATTGATGCATCTCAAGTTTGCCGACGAGGTCTGTTCATGGATGATATATAGAAGTTTCCTAAAATGGTCTAATTTGGGATGATTTGGGGTGCCCCTATTTTAGGAACCCTCCATATAATGTATGTAGGAAAATGGCTCAATCTGAAACCAGGCTTTGTAGCAGTTTCATTTGGGGATACCCACGGCAACCAGGTTTCCCGGCACCAACTGGACGGCGGCAGGAGCCTCATGGCAACGGTCAAGAAATTCTTCAGAAAAGGCAGGGAAACAGGCACTGTACTCAATGTCTGGGTATATATATATAGACTAGATGTATGGCAACTATATATATATACTGTATATTTTAACTTTAAATATACTGTTGATGTGTCTTTATATGACATAATATGTACATATTAATATGTACATATATATATATATCAAAATAAATAATATAATATAATATAATATAGTATAACATAGTATAATACAATACAATACAATATATATATATACACATGTTTGAGCTCTCAAATCACTTGCACTGTGTCTTGTGGCCTGGAAGTCATCCAAGCAGGCAGTCGCAGCCTTGCCCAGCGTCCGCAGGCAGCTACCCTCCAGTAATTTAACAGTTTGCTATTGAAAATGGCCATGTATAGTGGATTTTCCCATCAAAAATGGTGATTTACCCATCAAAAATTATGATTTTACGTGAAAATCAATAGTTATATGATGTTATATGGTATAGTTTAGCCGAAGGGTATTTCAGAGGGTGAATTGTCACGTCCTGGAAATACTGGGGGGAGGGAATTCAGCCTGTCCTATCCACAAACCGCAGACTAAATTCGAAAATAGCATCTGTGCATGTCTAAGTTGAAAGTTTGCTAAACTGTTAAATATATTCAAACATGAAAGATTTGTGGCCTGCCACTTTTTGGGGATGTCTTTAAGTACACCACAGCATGGCTTCCTGTCCTCCATCAGGGCTGGAAAGACCGGATGAGAGGCTGGCACATCCTGGGAAATGGCCAGGCCTGGCTGAACAAAATCCAATGGCAATTGATCATTGAGATGTTCGTAGATCTTCACTATAAAATTGTGTAAAGACCTTCGGTTTTGACCAAAAAAATTGTCTTTTTGATCTTTTTGGGCATATCCCAGATCCTTCATCCTTTATTTGAAAAAATGACCATGACCATTGTACTAATATGGCATCAATGCTCATGCCTGAATCCCCTCGAGGAGCTGGGAACGTCGTTGCAACCCGCTGCATCCCATGAAGCCATATATTTCTGGGTCCAAATACGTGAGAAACTGCGGCCATAGCGCAAAAATCCTAGTCAGGTCATGCTGAAATTTCTCAATGATCTCACTGTATCTATGTATAATATATGTATATACATATTATATATATAGACATTGCATAAGTGAAGCTTACGCATGTCACATGTGCTATGATATCTATGATCCACAAATGGTCCCACATCCCATCATCTCTCAGACCCGCCTGAAACGGCGCGAGCGATCTCCTGGCACCCAACAAGTTGATAACTCGACAAATCAGCCAATCAGTTCTCAATCATAAACTGGGCAAATTACCATCAGTTCCAAAGGAGAAATATGATGAAAAACCATTGTTATCCATGTTTTCGTAATGATAATACATTAATTGCAGAAAATTATCATGTTATTGTGACCCATTCATGAGAAATAAGATGAAACAAGCCGCTGTCATCCATTGTTGGGATAATTACCCTCTGGTAAACTAACATAGCTATGGAAAATCACCATGTTTAATGGGAAAATCCACTATAAATGGCCATTTTCAATAGCTATGTTAGTTTACCAGATGGTAGTCCCCTAATCATCGATGGTGAGATCGGCGTCCTGCGAGCTGAGCTGCAGAGCTTGCTGGGCCACTAGCGAAGCCAACTGCTGAAACAGCTCCGACTTGGCAGACTTCCTGGGGCGAAATCTCTCTGTGACGTGGAGACCACTGAAACCAGCCATGGTTCATATGGGATATCAACGAATCAACTACTGTAAGATATCACTTGTATCAGGGTGTGCATTCGGGGAGTGGTGTTGTGTCAGGTTTTTTGCATGTATATAGTAATTATATTTGTTTACCTTGCCTGACCCCGAGGCACTACAAAGTGGTGGGACAAGACCCAACATGAAATCACCGCAAACTGCATCATCTCTAAGATAGGCCCTCACGAAAAAAAGGAGGGGATCCTGGACAGGGTCTCATATGATGACCTTGAAGTCCAATTTTTGGAGCGATGGTCATCATCAAGCGCTATTTTTTTACAACTGCATTTTGTAGTTTCTGACTGGTCATGATCCGAGTCGATAACACTGTCACTACAAAATGCAGTGCTAGACCCAAAAAAAAACATTGCTACAAAATAGAGGGCTCCAACACCAAGATTCCTTACAGAATAGCCTGGCTGACAGTTTTGTAGTGGACCCAAGTCCCACCATTCTGTAGTGGAAATTGCAACCTGAATTCACTTGTATTCCTCGGTTTACTGCATGTTAGATCTTCAAAGGTAAGGCACTTTCCAAACTACACCGAAATCAGCCGAAATCAGCGAGAAACATCGGTCTGAAGGCGGCTGAGGCTGGGACAGTTGTGGAAGTGCCTCAAACATCAAGCGATGACCTGATGGACCTGTACCCAACTTGACCCACCTGAATCACATCGGTAACAAAGCGGCCACCACGGGGTTTACCATGTGGTTTTTAACGTTAACCTGCATGATGATACCGAAACAATTAGAAAGAGCATTCAAAGTCAGTACAACTGGGATCTATTGGAATTCTAAAAAGTCAAAATAGTACAACAGTCATAGATCCCAGTACTGTTGACTGTTGTACTGTTGGATCTATGTATAAAACTAAATTCTCTTGAATGAATTCTAAGAATGACTGTTGGACGAGACCCTAGGGCCCCAGATGGCCCCAGCCTTCCGACTCAACCCAAGCTTGGCAACCTCGGTCGTGAAGAGCGGCTGAAGCCACATCATTGCTGGGTCAAGAGACAACCTACAGGAAACATCAGGAAAGTATATGCCTTGCCACCCAAATATAAACATATATAATCCTGCAACATATCCCACATTTTGTTGATGCAAGTGCATCGTCATTTCCTTCAACAATATTCAAAAATGCCGTACATTGACTCATCCCCCATTTTTGGGCAAACCCATAAATCTAATTTTTGTGAACGGAAAACCATGGGCAGGGCTCAGTTGACTCAACGCAAAGCAACAGGTCATTGAACCTATTTTTACTTGGGCCCTTGGGCCCTTGGGCACCAGAAATAACGGTGTCACAGTGAAAATCATTGCGATTTCATGGCACCAACAGTCACCAACACATGAAATCGTTATTATTTATATTATTATATATTGATTTATCCAGAAAATATTCTGATTTGGAATCATCATGAATTATCATGAATTATCATGAATTATCATGGTGTATCTTTCACGTCACTGGTTTATGAATTCTGCTGACTTACCCAGAGTGGAGCCATTCAGATGATCGGAAGCAACACATCCAGATGATGCCAATCGGTATCCGTATGCCTTGCTGATCCATGGTGATTCCTGGCTGAATCGGGGTGCCTACAAAAAACATCTCTGAACACTGACTTCCCAAAGAATTGGCAACTCTATGCTACAGTCCCCAGTTTTGAGTTCAGAGATGGTCAGTCCCACTATCACTATGGCAACACTGACCACTATAATATGCTAGTTACATAGTGGTCAGTCCCCCCCTACATCCCCAGTTTTGAGTTGGTGAAATCCCAAGTCTTTGCTCAGCTCTTCAGGTCGTCCCAATGAATCTGGATATTTCATCAATCTAACCACCATTTACGGCGAGGTCGGCTTGTGAGGTTGCTATTTAGAAAACATAGTATACAGATATATATATATATAATTACAGATATACAGTATGGCATGCATCCCAGTTCCATCATGGTTGGTTGTTTGATGAATTCCCACCATTTTGCCATAGATTGGGGGGAACATCCCCCCATTCACTGCTTTTAATTCATTTTAATTCATTCTATAGATGAATTTCCCGAATGAAATGATCGTGTCTTGAGGCTAAATAAATCACCAATTCATAGACATTTACAGATGGGTTTCCCATGAAAAAATGCAACATACAGATGTAGATCTACCATTTTTGCTTGGTTTTCCCATGGTTTTCCCATGGTTTTCCCATGTCTTGCCTGGCTCACTGAGTCCCGCCACCGCCATGCATGTCGAGGCCAGGGTCGCAGGCGACATCTGGGACCTACGTTACGGAAAAAAGGGGTTCAGTTCACCAACGAAAATTGGGGGATTTCATGAGATCGGGTAAGCGAATTCACTCGCATGTGGCCATGGTTTTAATATGTGGGCATGGATCAATACCTATTAATACCATTTTTAGTGGGATGAACATCCATTTACCAGCTATTTTGATGTTCACCAGGGGTACAAGGTTTTGACACACTGCCATGTTTTGAATGGGAAAATCATCTGCGAATGGCTATGAATGAAGGATTTCAGCAAAGAAGTATGGTGAATTTACCCTCCAACTTTGGTGGGATTCAATGAGGAAATCATATACATAGCCATGGCATGCCATGGCTTTTTTCAAGCTGATTGAATCAACAAGACATGTGAAACATATCAAACCAATTTAGATTTAAGAGGATTTAGCCGACACCTGAGGTTTAACGAGCCAGAATTGTGAAGTTAACCAACAAAAATCATGAAACTTGGTGATTTGACCAGCAGGAACTGAGGATTTTTTCAGATTTGGCCGCTGAAATATGGATGAACACAACGAAGATCTGGATGAACGGCTGATCTTCAACATAAAATGGGGAATCAACGGTGATTTCCACATGATGTTTCCCCGTTTTTATTTCCAGGACTCCGACGGATTTCCAGGTTTCTTATCTGGTAGTCATCGGTTGTGACCTTTGTTTTGGAGGTTGGATTCCATTCCTTTATGGTCAATAGCAATCATCACCCACCATTGCCCATCATTGACCACCTTCAAGGTGTCTGATGGCGCTATTCAAGCTTGGGGGCGTTTCTCTCCAACATGTTCCAACTGTCATTATACGATAATGTCAACCCTGAAAAATCCCTAGGCTGTTTAATTGGGGGATACCATTAAAATTTTTGATTATAACATACTGTAAACCATGGTACCATGGTTTATTGATATGTGGTTGACATTACCAAATATTATAATGCATTCTATCCAGTTTTTTCACATGGCTCCAGCAGCCCGCCTGTGGCAAAACTATTAACCCCTTCACATTAAATGCCCCCTGTATGGGTCCCAAAAAGAAAATAGTTCCAATCCAAAACCAGGATTCCTAGGGTATTTAATGTGATGATCAGTCAAATCAGTTGGAACATCTTGCCAAATCATGCAACGGCCAAACAAAACTTCATGAAACATCTCGAAACTACCACAGAATCAGAACAGCACCACATCACCCAGCTCAAAACACTCAAATTCCAATTTTCATCAATTTTCGGGATGATGTTCCCCCATACACCCATTCTCATTGACCTTCAAAATCCAATGAACATCATTGGATGGTGAAGCCCTGCGGGTCTCCCCACAGGCTACGTGTCAAATCTTCCAGGATCGTCAGCCATGCTGCATCCTCTAGGCCCTCGCCTTGTCTGGCCTTGGGGTGTTACCCTCTGGTAATTTAACGTAGCTATTGAAAATGGCCATTTATAGTGGATTTTCCCATTAAAAATTGTGATTTTCCATAGCTATGTTAGTTTACCAGAGGGTAAGTCATGGGGGATACTCCCAAAAAACAAAAGGGGCTTCAAGGAGACTGACAAAAGATTCAGCCAGCCATGAAATGTGGGGATATCATGGGGAGAAAATGGAATTTGATGACCAATGGGATATATTATTATATAATGATATACAATGATATACAATACTATACATATATTGATATATAATTGATACAATGATATAGAATGCTATACAGTAATATACCGTGTATATATATATAAGATAGATGTTTATTGCCCAGGGCAAGGGATCATCCATCAAGACAGTGACTAGGTCACAACACGTGCCATCCGCCATAACCGATCCATCGGCTTTTCCAAGGAGCAAGTAGGCGGTGAGTTTCACATCTTCGCAGCCATCTACAACTTTGCTGTCTACATGCAACTGCGGGGCACATCTGGCCCTGAATATCCCTGAATCAGCTTGATCTGCAAGAGATCTGGCTGGTTGGTGTTTTCAAACCATCCCCACAATGTCAATATGTCAATGCCATGTAGTCAGTAGTCCTCGGGGATCATCATGCCTAATGCCTAATGTGCTTCGAATGCAAAACATGTGTCAAGCCACCATCCAAATCTGGACCGTGCAATTCAACAAGGTTGCTGGTCTTCAGAACCTTGCCCTTTAGCAATTCAGCAGCTCTTTTCTCTGCTGAAACAACTCTCAGGGAAGATTGCGGCGCTGATCCAACTAACGAAGTTGTACAACGGTGCATTCACTTCCGCTTCCACTTCTTCGGCTTCTTCGACTTCTTCGTCCTCCTGGATCTTGACAATGCCAGTTTCAAAGGCTTCTTCACCTTCCTGCGCCAAGCTCGTCACATCCAGGAAGTCTTCTCCGAGTTCTGCGTGAAGTAGCTCATATTCATGCTCTGCCTCCACCAAACGACGCCTGAACTCCACTTCCCACTCCAACTGTGACATTTTGCCTCCGGGCAGATGGCCGGTAAGTCACTACTTCAAACAACATCTTTGCTGCAAGGACATGTTAGGTACGTATATGTGGAAAGAGATAGATATCAGATATAGCATATGTATCATATGTATGTATATCATGTGTATATATATATGATCTACAGAAATGATATGATATATATCTATATATAATGATATATATATATATATACACAGTATAATTATATATAATTAATAACATCTTCATGTGCAATAGCACCTCTCAGGCGCCGCCCTGAAAAGCCCAAGGGCCAAGCGCCTGAAGCGCTTGGAGGCTGGGTATGGCCACTGTCCGAGGTCCTTTCGGGACCAGTCGGGCACTGCATCTCTCGGGCCACCGGTGGTTGCCGCAGATGCTGCAGATCTGGACAGCGATGCAAATCAGGATGCAACGGCAGTTTTGTTTAAAAAAAATGTGATCTTGTCTTGTCGCATATTTATCTGATATATTTATCTGATAGATTTATCTGATAAATAGGTGATAAATAGGTGACTTTTTTTGATATAGATACATATCAGATATAGAGTATATGATGATATATGTATATATTATATTATATTCTATTTTAACCTATTTCTGTCACTCACCCTTTCCAAAGCTGGAATTGGTGCTGGTGATGTTTATCCATGGAACGTGAGAATTGTCATTGCTAGCGCGAGACTCATGAAGTTGGAATCTGTGATGGTTGCCAGCTGTTGCCAATGTCTGGTCAAGTGTGCCCGTTCCACTGCCTTGAGAGTGAAAACAATGCAATTAAAACATGTTGAACCCACACGAACAGCACTTTCCTTGGCACGTAGATTTCCTCGCGGAGTTCACGAAGAAGGCACGGAATTCTACAGTCAAAATTACCAAATCAGAAAGTCTGTAGCAATTCTTGAGATGGCTCCCTGGGTTTCCATACGAGCCTGGCTGCCACCAAGGCCTTTTCACGCAGATCACGGGTTTTGCGGCCATCCCCAAACATCGTATCTTTCAATCCGTTTCAATACACCATAGGTGCTCCAAATGCTTCAAAAATGTATGTCTATGATCTCTATGATGTATATTGATGTATAATGTCTATGATGAATTATACCTGTTTAATCCTTTTTGACCCTTTTTAATCCTTTACATACATCATAAACATGATGTAAATTCACACATAAACCACCAAATCATACCTTTGATGTTTGGAACATCATTTCTAAAACAATTTAATTCATATAAGTGAATGCTGGTGAATTAGATGTCAGCAACATGATTTAAGGCCTTTTTGGGATACCTACCCCTTCGAAACATAATTCCAGGTGCGTCTCAGTGAATGACGACCATCCTTCCCGGACAAAAAAAAAAAAACATGGCATATGTGGCAAACGCCTAAAAAAATCGGAGGTTCATTGTTAGGTTTACCACATTACCCAACCAAACTATTATAAGCCTTTGAAAATGCTTGTTAAGGTATGTTCGGGCGCCTTTAAAATTGATTTCGACAAAGAAAAACAACAAATATTGCATTCATTTTGAGTGGATTTTCACCATTCCAAGAAATAATCATCACAGAAATAGCCAATCTAAGCGAATCTAAAACCTATATAACCAAACAAAAAGTACATGTTGATCTGGAAGTGGGAGTTCAGCAATCCAACATCCACCATGTGGATTTATCTCTCTTGATGCAAAATTCGCCCATCTACGGTGCAAGTCGTCGTTTAGAGTGAAGAACACGTCTGCTGGCTCTTGTTCTTGTTCCTGCCCTTGTTGTTGTTGCTGCTGCTGTTGTTGTCTCACATAGCTTTCCTACAACATGTTGCAAAAACCATGTGAACACATGCATGAAAGCCATGACAAAATGGCTTATTATCGTGTGGACAAAGAAACTTGCCTTGCCATAAGCTCCAAGGACAGGGGAGGTATTTGATTTCCTATGTCCGGGATGCGCACAGACTTTGAAAAGAATTGGACACAACAAAGTAGTGAAATGGATTTGGGTCAGAATTCCAGGTCCCTAAACGCATAAGAGTAACTCTTTTCTATTCATTCTGTTTGAGGGTTCCAAAAGACTTGACCCATCCCCAATGTCTGGCTGATTCGTGAATCATTTCATATCCGGGCTCGCGCACTTTGGTTGATCAAATCCTGATTTTGGTTGGTCAACTTACCCTCTGGTAAACTAACATAAAGATGGAAAATCACCATTTTTAATGGGAAAATCCACTATAAATAGCCATTTTCAATAGCTACGTTAAATTACCAGAGGGTATTACGGTTGAATAATACCAACTTATTTTGGTATACTTTCGTCATTTCGATGGTGAAATCATCGAATTATAGCTGGTGGTATACCTACCCCGAAAAATATGAGTTATACCGTAGTTGGGATTATTATTCCCAATTAATATGGAAACATAAACATGTTCCAAACCACCAACCAGATAGGCTCTACAGACGTTCGTTGCGCCTTCTTGCCCACTGGCAGCTGCTGGAATTCCGCCACAATGCCATCTTTGGACCTGAATCACTGGCCACTGACCACTGCAACCATGGTTTATGGATGTTTATGGTAGATATATCTACAGATAGTTAATGGGGTTTATAAACCAACTTACAATTGGGAGGCACAATGGTGACAATAGTAGAAACCCAGGCAAACATATGATTTTTAGATATTTTTAGTTGTTCACTATACATCCAAGATTGGATTCAAGTCATCTAAGTACTCAGTAACATCCAGTAAAGCACTGGGTGTGGTCTAAAGATTGATATTTGCCATGCAGTGTTTATACCAAAAAAAATGACAACCCCCTAGAAAATGAGTTGATGGTTGATCCATCAAAAGCAGGATCAAAACAAATGAACTTTAGATACCAATCAAAGTGGTGATTGACCCATGATTAATCAGTGATGAACCAATAATGAACCGACAAAATTATATTAAGCAAATATATTAAAAAAAAAAAACATACAAAACCAATGAGGAGCCCCATAGTGACCATTCCTGTAATGTTTGGAAATCAAAGGAATTGCAGCCCCAAACTCCCCGTGAATCATGGATTGCTTGACATGGATTGCTTCTGCCAGCCCAAGATGTCACGTTTTGACACCGAAAAAATGGAGACTTTGCGGAACATCAAATTTCAAATGATGCACGTTGTGGAATACGAACAGAATAGATTCATAGAATACGATAGCATCTTCCAGTAGTAGCATCAAATCAACCATGTCTGAGAATAGACAATATCTACCCCAAAAGTTTGTGGAATACGATAGCATCTTCCAGTAATCAACCATGGCTTCCCAGATTAGTTCGATGATTTTCCCAGTAATCAATGCCCATTTTCAGAGGGATTTCCCAGCCATGTTTGACTACCAGAGGGTGATACTCTATGAGTTGGCTATAACATGTTATAAAACCTATCCAGATCCATTAAGTCTATAGAATTCTATAACTCTACCATAGATAACTCTACCATATAAAACATATCAAACCATTTACAAAAACATTAAACAAATACTAAACCATATAAAACCATATAAGACGTACAGTTTTCCCGATATTTCATTAGGCTGCCATTGGGGCTACCGTAGAGCTACCCGAACCGCAGCATGCACCAAGGCTCCAACATCGCAGACATCGCATGGCCATGGCTGACCTCGGGGCTTTGTATCGCATCTGCAATTTGAAAACATTCTATCGTATGTAACACCGTATGTATGTATGTAACACCGTATGTATGTATGTAATGTAATGTAATGTAATGTAATGCAATGCAATGTAATGTAATGTATGTATGTCTGTATGTATGTCTGTATGTATGTATGTATGTATAAAATGTATGTATAAAATGTATGTATGTATAATATCATACATGTAATATGTTTTTTTTCAATCATGTGCACAAGTATGTTTTATGTAGACATGTGCAGGTATCAATATTGTAAATAGTTAAATAGTTAATTGTGATTAAAATGATTAAATGTACATGTTGAGATGTAGATAAACATATAAACATGGATTAGAATGATTAGAGACGCATAAGTTAAACAGAAACGAAGAGGAACTCCTTCCCTCTGATTCTTGCCTTTCTCAGGGCAGGGCGTATCTCAGCGTCTGTTTCGCACTCCTGACGTCAATTCTCATTAATTCCCGAATCCTTGTGACTGGAATAGAGGAATTGATGAATCTGTACCAGTTCAACGCATCAAAAAGGACTCGTGGAAGTAAATATTAGATATGTCACTGGATGGGTTTAGGGGAAAATCCGCACAAAACAAAAGTGTTTACCCGCAACTGTTGAGGTTTCCTATGGTCTCCTGTATTTGCTACTTCCAATTCTGGCAGCATTAGGGGAAACCACGCCTGGTAGATGTTCTGCCTAAGGCACTCCATGTCCTGAGGATGATCAGGATATGGATTTATTGTGCCATGATCAAAGCACCAATTCTATTCACGAGTGTTGTAAATACACATGGATATATATATATATGTATATATATATGTATATATATATATTTCTATGTGTATGTGTATGTGTGAATATATAACTTGCATATACTTGCATTATTTTTGATCCAAAGTCTATGTGGACACACGTGGCAGGGTCATCATTGGTGGGTTGGAAGCAAGGTTTGATAGTGCCACCATCCCCCAAATTCATAGTTGGACCCTGAAAACAGAAAATTTCAAGTGGAAGCGGTGGAAACTATTCTTCCAACCCCCGACTGATGGCAGGGTCTATGTTAGTTTTGGAGAGGGTTACTCTCCGCGACTTCTCATGATATTCATGATGTTAAGTGTGCTCCCCAACTATTTACGATGATTTCTGATTTCCAAATTTTAGGCACGACTTTAGCAGTCAACTGTAGCAATTGCATCCGACTCTGAGCCAGACACCCGCACGAACGTGCAAGGGAGCGCATGGGTGGCTTCAAAGCATCTGATGTTGGCGGTTGATGTGTCTGCAGCACCCAAAGAGAACATTGATACCATTGATATGATCCATCTGTCTTTCAGCTGTAGTTTGCTACTGGTGTGCCAGCTTTCTCGTCTTAGCATCCCGTGCTGCTCTCTTACAGGGCACAAGACTCAAGATTTATTTTCTAAGTCAAAGATGTTGTTGAAGAATGTGTGTTTCAAGAACAACAACGTCATGCGAATCATCTGTGAAACAATTCTATATCAATGAGATTGGATTCTGTACTCATGGATGTCATTTCCAACAATCTTGATTTTCAGCATCCGTGCCAACAATTGGATTCTGCACTCCATCTTTGAGAGGAATTAACTTCCACTTGGCGTCAGCAACGCCGTCACCGAGTCACCCAGCAATGCGTTGGCAAGGTCTTTGGGCTGGTTTTATATAAGGTGAGAAACTGGAGATTTCACCAGCAAAGGAGAAAGAAAACCAAGATATGAAGAAATGTTAATATATTTTAATATGGTATATATATATACATGGATATATGATATATGTAATAAATTGTAAAAATCATGAGACATAGAACCTGAGAATATGATGTGGATGTCTGAGAATGATGCGTTCCTCACATGTCGTGTCCATTGTTCATGGGGAACGCGATGATTCACCAGTGGATTTGGTAGCCCATTCCGAAACAAGTCCTATGAAGACAAACAAGGGTTTTCTACATGTTTCTACCCATGAATATGCTGGAGGATATGAAGACAATAAAGATGATAAACATGTTTATAAACAATTTCTGATATCTTTAATAAAGAGATTGTTAATAACAACATCATTAATGTATTGATATCTTAATAAGGTGATGTCTTGTTCTGAATTTATACACATAATATTGTTAAACAATTTCTGAGATCAACATTCGGGGTGAACCAATGGTGAACAATAATCACAGTTGTCAAAGGCGGAAACTGCTGACGTTACTCGACCGGAAACCAAGCGGTGCAATTTGTTGGGATATTTGAATCCCTAAACAGTAGTCAATCACTCACTGATAAAATTATTTGAATGTATATGGTACTATATATATTATGTATTATATACTATATGCCCAACCAACTGGTAGCCCTGAAAAAATGAAAGTCAACCCTGGATTAATACACCCCCGGGCTTTGAGTAGCCAATTCTCACTATTTGGGGTAACGCCCCTAATTTGTCAACCAGGATCTATGTGGATTTATTAGCACCTAACTAAGATCAAGCACATCTGCTGTGCCGATGTCAGATGGCAAAGATCATACCAAACCATACCAAACCACTCACTAAAATTACCAAACGTATAGGCTAGGGTCCGGGTAAAGTGTTTTTTTCAATGGGTCAATGGAGTGGCCAGGTAGATTGAATTTAAAATCAAACTGGATGCAAAGGAAGATCTCCAATGACAATGACTGCAGAGTTGACGGTTTGAATACACCTCTACGCAATTGACAGTCATGGGGCATAATCCCCCCATCTGTTGGGATCAACATCATCAAATGAAACCTCTAATCTAACAGTTGTCTGTTGGTAAACTCACATCTTTTTTGGGGAGAATCGTATATATATATATATATTCCCAATCAAAACAAACACCAAACAGCAAAAGTTCTGTCATTGACCACCCCAACGCCATGAAATGCACTCTCTGCAAGCTTTTCAGCAAGGGACCTGGACAAATTAGGGGCCTTGGGTCATGTTTACAGACCCAATACTCCAGATGTTTTTGTCAGTTTAAAGTTTGAAGGGCAGAAAATCCAGGAAAATCACATTTTTGGGCTACCCCAATTTTCACAGATATACCTATGCCACCCATCGGAGTTGATTTGCGATCCCGCTGATGCAATTTTCATGTGTTGCTCCGCCGACCATGGACCATCTGGATCTTGATTTGTCAATGGGAGATTCACCCCCAGTAAGGGGAAGTACTATACAACGGGATGAAGCGCATTTTATCCCAAATCTTACATCCATTTTGAGGATACGGGTTGAAAGTCCACTATCTTTATTCAGATCTCAACCAACCAGTGGAAGGGTATGCTGCCCTATAATGGCTGTGCAGAAACAAACATCCATCCAGTTCTGTATTTCCACTATATAACATCCACATACATCCACTAACAATAAACTGGTTGTTACGTTCGCATTTTTCCTTGGTGAAGTTTCCCTTTTTTGACCTTTTCCCCACGTGACTCACGTTTTTTGTGGCACGGATGCTTCGCACAAAAACCGCTCAAGCACCAAACGCTGCTTCCAGACCTGATACATGGACTGGTGGTTGAGTGACCAATCATCCCTTCTGTATGGTTCAAAGACTTGAAAAACAGTTGAATCCCCGTGGAAGCCCAACAATGTCACAAGAATTTGGGTTTGCCAAACATAACAATTGGATGTGACACAATAACAATATTATGCTTAAATTCAAAAACAACACGAATCGGGTTCGGGCCAAACATACAAATTAGGAATTTACCCAAAAAAAAGGTCTTAACCGACAAAACAGAGGCTAAACAACAAACATGGGGTTTTGATCCATCAATGGGTATGCCATTCCCACAATTTCAAGTGTCATGATACAAACAGCAAACAATTGGACAGGGTATCCAGGTACAACGCATGCGAACCTGTCCTTTAAGACTTCATCAATCACAACAAGCGGCCCATACCACCGTGCAGAAGCTGCGTTTGCTGATTAGCTTCACAGTTACGTTTTTGTTTCATGACATTGTGTAAGAAACATCTTGAAACACTTCTATCTCCCCTCAAAGTACACACAATAAAACACACACACAATCATGGTATAAATGAGTATGGGCCAAGTCAACCTGCACGCCAATCCCCAAATATGCCCACCAGCATATACAAATTATATCAAAAGCCCTTAGTATGCGCCAGGAAATCATCTATAATTCAGTGGGTTATTATATGCATGGTTTCACCATATGTATCTCACAATTTGATGGAGAGTTTTCCAGGATTGGCTCACACCTTGGCTCAAGGAGCAAAGGTCAAAGCGGCATTTTTCAATGAGATCCCGAGGACCACATCTTACCACCTTACAATGGACATGAAATATCTGGTTGGTGGTTGACCTACCCCATTGAAAAATATTGGTCAGTTGGGATGATTATCCCATATATTATGGAAAATAAAAAATGTTTGAAACCACCAACCAGATATGATCAAACCGTCTAACAGTCGCCTAGATCACACGATATCAATCTGTGCATCCTGATCATCTTGTGTCTTTGTAACTTGTCCCTGCGCAAGAACCACTGTACCCGGTGCTGCTGGGACATGCAAACGGATGCCGTGAGGCCAGCCTAGTAAGAAGCTTCACCCGGTCTCCGCTTCAGCAATCTTTGCCAATCACTTGAGAATATCAAAGGATTAATATTAGTTCTTTTGTCTCATGATTTTTTCCTGTAACTTTAGACTTACCATACAACCCCTATATCCCGATGAAACATCGCTCAACCAATCAGCTCCAGTTGGTATACGGTATACAACATGGTTTAAATCGAATCTCACCATATCTCACCATCAATCAACCATTTCCGGAGCATTGAAACATTCTTGGCGGACTCCGTTCCCTGAGCGAAACCACCTGACGGCTGTGCTGGGGTCACCTTTTGTGGACCCATCAGCCAATGAAGATCTGAAGAAAATGGGGGATTTAACATGATTTAACATCATTTGAAATTCTATGAAATGAAATTCCCTGAAGAAAATCTATCAAAATCTATGATTTAACATGATTTGAAGAAAATCTATGAAATTCTAGCACGAATTGAAGATTGACCCTGAAAAATGCCATGAGTTCACCAAAACAAAAAGGGTTGAACAACACCTTTTGGCCCTGGACCAAGGCCTGATCTCGAACCAATCCCAGGTGGTTTGTTTTTGAGGTCCCCTGGCTGCTGGTAGAATCCCAATTTTTCTATGGTTAAATACAACATGTTAGTTTTGGAAAGTTAAAAACCTTAAATCCCCATGAAACTTTGGTCGGCCCCACACTTGTCCTTGTTCAAACGTGAAACCGACCCCTCAGCTGTGCACCAAGAAATCACTCCAAATTTGGAGTCAAGTAACGTGTAAACCCAATGCCATCACACCTCATATCAGTGACTGTTTGCACCACCTAGTCAAATTATGAAAGTGTGGTTTGTTGTTGGGTTTACCGTTGTATCTTGTGTGAAGATTGTGAAGAAATCACACAAGGCAAAGTCACTGTACAAGTGAAGGTTTCCTCAGCAAAGGTTGCACAGAATGAATTAAATCTTGTCATTGGAGGTTGTCTGAAAATCGGGAATGGCACCCCCAAATCCACTGGTTGATCATCACAGTAGTATATAAATCGTATTATATAGTAAATATATAATTACTATAGTACATATATTTATATTATATATGATATTATATCTTAGATTATACGACTATTATATTATATTATAATATATGTTATATATATTATATTAAATTAAATTATATTATATTAAATATATTATATCATATTATATCATATTATATTATTATATTATATTATATATTATATTATATTATATTAGATTAAATATATTATATCATATTATATTATTATTAATTATATTATATTATATTAGATTATATTATATTGTATTATATTATATTATATTATATTATATATGTGGCCATTTTTGGGCTATACCCCAGTTTCAGACGCGCCCACACATACAGAAATCTCGTCATGTGACGAAGATGCTCCAAATGCCGGACTCAAGCACGGAATTTTGAAGATGCCGCGAAAAGAACGACGCCGAAAACTTCTGTGATGGTGAAAGGGGGAACTCTGCGCCTTGAAGAAGTCATAGTCATGGCCGCCTGCGCTTTTTTTTGGTTCTTTTGTGGATCCTCACCAGTGTCACTGGGGACAGGTCCACTGGGGACAGGTCGACATCAAAGGTGCAACCTTCAAAGGCATTGGAGGAAATCTCTGTGCTCTTCCTTGGAATTGCTTGAGGGCCCTCTCGACAACAAATAAGACATACAGTATCATACAGTCATAAAATGTCATAAATATAGTCCCTATATAGATTCCGGAGTCATCGTGGGTTTCTGACAGACTAAACAAAGCCAGATTTCCCTGCTGTCACACTCGACAAGGAAGTGCATCCTGCAAAAGCCAAATCCTCAACACGCACGACAGACTCAGGGATGTCCAGCGAGGTCAGCGAGCTGCAGCGTTGAAAGGCCGCCTCCCCAATCGAAGTCACCAATCCGGGGATGGTCACACCTTGAACTCTGATGAAATTCGCTGAAAGTGCCCTTTCAAAAACATTGAGCGCAATGGAACGAAGACGTTTGTGAGTCCATGATAGCCCATACGATTCCCACGCAAATGGAGTTCATGTTGATTTCACATGGCTTTCCATGGGGATTTCTTGTGGAAATACATGGAAATACCAAAGAAATCGCCAAAAAATCGCCCAGAAACTCCGCAAAGAGCAGCAACCATTGAAGGTCCCCGGCTTGATCTCAGAGACGCCCTTGGGGATGGTGATCGATCTCAACTTTGCCTGGTGATCAACCAACATGACTATAGTTGTTGATCGTCCCAAGCCAAAAACCTGTATACAATGTATAGTAAACATTCGAAACAGCATTAAACAAAACGATGTTAAGATATAATGCTCAAAACATATTCACCACCCAGTCACGCAATCAAAAAAGGCACCTTGCCCAATCTCACGAACAGAGTCAGGTAGAGTGACACTATGCAGGCACTGGCAATCATAGAAAGCAAAGTCTGCAATGCAAGTCACATGGTCAGGTATTGCAATATCCGTCAAGCAAGGGCACTCACTGAATGCACTGGGCCCGATGCGGGTTGCTGAGTCTGGAATGATCACATGCGCCAAAGAGGAGCAGTTGCGAAAAATACTGTCTTCAATCTCTGTCAACTTTGGGATGGTCAAAGTCTTTAGTGAGTGACATCCACTGAAAGCACAAGGCCCAATTCGAGCCACGGATTCTGGAATGCTCAAGCTAGTCAACGAGCTGCAAAGTTGAAAAGCCTTCTGCCCAATGGAAGCAGTTTGCCTGGGAATCCACAAGGTTGCTAAAGAAGTACATGCGAAAAAAGCGCTCTCCCCGATGTCGATCAGCGAGTCAGGGAGACTCAAGTTTTGTAGGGAGCTGCAGCCACTGAAAGCTCCGTGCCCAATCTCAGTCACATCTGAGAAAGTCACACTTCGAAGGGATCTGCAGTTCGCGAAGACTTCCGACCCAATCATTCGGAGAAACTCGGGGATGGCCACACTGACCAAAGAGCTGCACCCCTTGAAGGCCTCGTCACCAATTTCGGTGACAGAATTTGGGATGTCCAGAGTCCTCAAAGATGTACAGCCACTGAAGGCGTTTGCTCGGATGGCTTTCAGAGAATCTGGCAAAGTTACCCGTGTCAAAGACATACAGCCAGCAAAGGCCTCCAAACCGATCTGATGAACCGAACTCGGCATGGACACCAACTCCAGTAAGCTGCATTCTTGGAAGGCATTGTGTTCAATTTGATGGATCTCTTCCTCGAACAAAAGGAGAACAGTTGGGTGTTGAAGTCAGCGCCAGAACAACAGAAGTCTCCCGAGTCAAAAAACATGCAAACACACACACACAAAATCTAGGGTCAACAATAATCAACCAACCAACCAACCAACAAACAAACACACCAACAAACAAACCAACAAACAAACCAACAAACATACATACAAACATACAAACAAACATACATACAAACATACAAACATACAAACAAACAGACAAACAGACAAACAGACAAACAAACAAACAAACAAACAAACAAACACACACACAAACACACAAACACACAAACACACAAACACACAAACAAACAAACAAACAAACAAACAACAACCACCATGCACAATCGTCATAAATGGACGTCACTCTTTCTGCCTGTCTCTCTCTCTCTCTCACTCTCTTCCTGTTGCACTGATCAGGTGAGTTTGTTCAACTAAACAGTAGCTCAAACCATCGAATCTGTCTGAGGCTACGTGTCTTTGCCTCTGTCCCTGTTTTCCCAAAGCTATCTGTATTCTGACTCTGTGTACGTATTCACGAACGTATGGTAGGCCGGTTTCTAGGGGAAGCCAGGATGTCAAGCGCGGGCGAGGTCGCTTGTAGTAAGGTTGGGCTGGGCACGACAAAGTGGCAGGTAGGGTAATGCAAGATACCAATAAGCATGTGCGTAATCCCAACTGTACCCGGTTGTTGATGAGATAAAACCCAGTAAGCCATCCCCAACTGGAGTTTATGAGATTGGCGATCATCTGACAAAAAATGAGATGATGTTTGCTATGACCGCCTTTTGTTGTTACACTGGGATGGTTTATTGTGGCATTGGTCCAGGCTGCAGGAATATGCACAGCCACCAACTCTTGTGCTGCCCGTCCAGAGGACTCCTTGCTAGCGGCGACCACAGCATTCATGGTGAAAAGCACCAGCACGTTCGAATCCTTGGATCTATGATGTCCTTTTCTTGCTGGTTGGTTATGGCTGGTTGATAAATATAGAGCGCTAATGTTAGAAAAAATAGTAAACCATCCCCAAATTTAGCATAAATGGATGGTATAAACCATATTAATCCATATGGGTGGTTTATTATTGCATTACTAACATCGGATACCCCCAGTCAACCAAGGTAAAATGATCAAACATGGTTTATACAATTTTATACATACTCATGTTCATACCAAACCGGCCCCTCTATTTTTCCTAAAAGGACAACAATGGCCTCTAATTGGATCATCCTACACGTCCTTTTCCCCCGACTGACAGGTCGAAAAAAAATCCGAGCAATCCTTGCGAATTTCTGGCCACTTCCACATAGCATGGCTCGTTTCTTCTCGTTATTTACAGCAAGGCATGGCCATCGGATGGTTTTGTTCAATGTTTCAACATGTTTCAACAACATTCAGAAACCAAGTCTCGAGTGAAAGACCCAGCTGACCCAAGGTCAACTCATCCTCCTCCTGTTTCTTACCCTCCAGCAGCAGCTCAACTACTGTGATGCGGCGGATGACTTTATCGCTGCTGGGCTGCAAAGCTTTCAGTTTCTGCTTGAGGTCACCTGTCGGATTTCTTTGACATAATGAAAGCAGGGGCGGACATTGGTGATTTCACCGTATGTTCCCCGTATCTAGGGTATTGGGAGCAATCCTGTGAGTACAAATGCGGTGCAGGAGGGAATGATTCTCTTGCGATATTCTTTAATGAGTTTGTGACTACATGAGAGTCTACGTTGAGTCTGTGGCTGAAATCATTCATGATTCTACAGTGGTGTTTTCTTTCCGTCTAGTGTGAGCAACATCTGAAAAGATCTATAATATAATATATATATAATATATATATAATATATATATATATAACTATATATATATAACTCTATATATATATATATATACAAAAGTGCCAAGGCGGCCAAATCACCTATGGTCATTTCCGGCATGACATCCACATCGACCCTCTCGCCATTGATCTGCATCACCGCAATCTTCATGGCGGCCACAGCTGCGAGCCGAGAAAGCTTCCATCGATGGCCAGGTCACGACCACCATGGGGGGTCACTAGGTGGATGATTCACTGCACCTTAACTCCTGAAAACATCTGAAAACATGCAGTATATATATATGATATATATATATGATATATATATATGATATATATATATACCAGGATGTACAAACGGGTCTCAATTAGGCACCCCTTAAGGGGGGTAATCATTAGGCACCCCTTAATTTTTAAGGTTCCAAACTAACACCCTACAAACCCGAAAGACCAGTTTAACCTGTCCACATTGGTTAAGAACAAGTTTAACTTGATCATTTGAAATTGCGCTCTCCGATCACATTTCTAAATCCTTCTAACCACTTGCTGTCAACACTTCAGCAACATCACTGTTTTGAATTTATCTTGAGAGAGACTTGGTTCATAGAGACATGCATATAGTGCTATGACAGACTGCATTTGAGGTGATAAAAAAAACCCCGTATAAATTTGCTTATGCCGCTTTTACCTTATCGGTTTTTTTTCTTCCTTATCGTTTTGCAGGCTATCTGCACTTATCACAATCAAAGAGGTTTATGCACATGCGGCCGCAGAACACAATTGAGGATGTGGTTTCCCTCTTTGGGGAGAACCTCCATGGCAAGGTGATCAATGGGCCATGGTGTTTGAAGATGGCTTTCGGGTTAATTTTGTTATCGTTTTTGTTATCGTTTTGTTATCGTTTTGTGTCACGTAAATTCTCCCCATTTGTGGGACACACTTACACTTGGTCTTCTCAAAAAGGATGGAGGAGCACATAGTGCCAGAATCATGATGGTAACATATGTTGACACATATATTCATATACATACATATGTATACATACATATATATATATGTATACACACATGCATGTATATATATGTATATATAATACTTAGCGTTATCGTTTTTTTCTTCCTTATCGTTTTACGGTGAATCGACTATACCCGGTACAAAAAGGCAACCTGCAATACTAAATCTAATTGACGGGGGTTCTTTAATTTCCTCATTTGATATTGGGAACCTGCAAAAAGATGGAAACCATTTGCCCGTTAATGCATGTTCATTGAGCGTCCCCGGATCATTCACGGGTGCTTCACGGATGCTTCACGGGTGCTTCACGGGTGTTTCACGGGTCGCTCACGGTACAAAATCAGTTTTTCGGGTCTCTAACCCAGTTTTTTGTGTCTCTAACACACTGGTCTCACGGGTGGTTCACGGGTGGTTCACGGGTGGTTCGCGGGTGGTTCCCGGGTGGTTCACGGGTGGTTCACGGGTCGTTCACGGATGGTTCAAGGGTGTTTCACGGCTTGTTTCGGGTTGTTGACGGGACGTTCACGGGCTGTGGGCAGCTGTAAAGGGCGATTGCAAACAATGAAATTGATATAAATTGATACCAAGAGCCCTGGAACTCAACCAGTTGGGAGAATGATTTGCAGTGATTTGTCGATAAAACGCATTTGTCCACTGCATCAACGGAGCTTTGGTAAAAATTAGCTCAAGTAAAGTACGTTCTTTTACAAGTAAAACATGTTCATTGAAACGATCAAGTTTAACGAGGTCTTTGGTTCGCAGGGACAGATAATGAGGTATTCATACGTAGTAATATGTGCATGTTTCTTCGATTTCCCCACGTTTGCTTCCAGAAATGCGTGTCATTTCGTGTCATTGCCGTGTCGTGCCGGTCATAAGTGGTCGCGAGTTTTTGAGAAATCAAGAAACACATGCGTGTCATTGCGTGTCACTGCCGTGTCGTGTCGGTCGGTAGGGGGTGTCCAATAAGCACCCCTTAGAAACGTGTCGGGTGCTTTTTGAACAACCCCTGCGCCTGTCATTTCGTGTCGATTTTGACTAGTTTTCTTGAAATTTGGGAACATTTTACATCCGACGCGAAAAGAAACGCATGCATTTCTTCTCGTCAAAAATGAAGTCGGGTGCACCACAGATGCCACGCGGGTGGGATTGGAAGATTTGGGTTGGAACTCATCATTTTCTGGTGTGCCATCTCCATGAACGCTAAGGGGTGTCCATTAGGCACCCCTCAAGAATCTCAATTCTTGAAATTCATTAGGCACCCTTTTGAACGTGCTGGTATATATATATATATGATATGTATATATATATATATCATATGCATTCGATGTCAGGTGTTTAGCAAGAAGATTGGTTTATGAACCGCTTAAAGACGCATGGCAATTATATTGGTTTCAACATGCATGCTTCATCCCAAAATTCATATAACGTCGCCGTCACTGCAATCCTCCCCTATTTGGGTTGAAAGGCTGAAGAGGTGGAACAGACCAACTTGGAGTATATATTGTATATTCTGTAATCAAAGTACCATCTGGTTATTCAACATACATAGCGAATTGGAAAATCGCCATGTTTAATAGGTAAATCATCTACAGCTGGGTGGTAATGTTCCATAGCTACGTTAAATAATCCGAGGGAAATTTAAAGTAAAGATGTCATCAACCAAAACAGGGCTATAATTTATAACATGGTATAACTACGGTATAGACTCAGTGTACGACTCTTGGGTCGAGTCAACGAGTCTTAAAAATGCAATGACCCCCACCTGTTTGTGGTGAAATTGACGGGTGGCCGACTTTTTGCGGATGAATCCACATATATTATCGATGGCACCGATTCAGAATCTAAGAGGATAGAACGGGTCGGTTGCACCAACCGCATATCTAATCCAAGAGCTTCTGTCATCCCCTTCGATTTGGCTGATGTGGATTCCCTTATTGAATTGTAGCGAGATTCCATCAGCAATCCCCATTTTGCCACTTCGCATATAGCATCCCATATAGCCAAATTTTGTTGACCCATTAGTACGCAATCCCGCAGTTTGAAAATGGAGAATTGAGAATCCTGCAAATCGTGATATGTAATAATGAATAATGTAATATAATGATATAAAAATTCTATATATCAATATCTAATAATTATCAAATAATTAATCAACTCGGATTAAACATGTTATTTACTCATATTTACTCCCACGGTAGGAAACAGGGACATGATATTTGTCCCGGTTTAACAACAAAAAACGTGACTCCGCCATTCTCAGCCCAGCGACAAGATCTGCGAGTCCTTGGGTCAAGCTACTGGCTCCAGTGAGGCCAAAATAAGACATCCCTGACACAGGCACAACATGGCACAACTGTGTACCCTCTGGCCATTTAATATAGCTATAGAAAATGAATGAACATGATTCATCTATATTCATCTATAGATGATTTATGAATATTTATGATGCTTTACTTGAGAATGGCATTCGTTTCCATAGCTCCGTTAAACGCTACGTTAAATTTGTCCAGCTGGGCTATTTAAGGAAGTCAGCCGACAACGTTGTGACGTCGCCGAGTTGGGGGGAGATTCCCAGCCATGTTTGATGGAGGCTACAAGTACTAGTAGCAACCAAAATTTCAAACCGTTGCCAACTAACACAACATCAATCAACATCATATAATCAATTATAACCACAACAGGAGCATTCAGAAATGGCCAGCGCCCAATGATCCCAATGGCCAGCGTCCCATTGGAGCTCAGTGGATGTTATCATGCTTCAGCCTGCATTGAGGGCCATGTTTATTGGTCACCAAGTTATCCACCATTTATGTGAAGGTTGATTGAAGTTGTAATTGAAAAAAAACGGGTGTGCTGTTGTGTGGGTTGAGTGAATATCTAGATCGAGATCTGACTCCAAAAAAGGGAATCTAAAAACACTTTGAAGGTATGCGCCTCTCCCAAGTGCTTGAAGCAAGTCTCTTTGGCCCAATCATTTTCAGCATCACCGCAGCCGCGCGATTGTAACAAGGCAACGGATGTTCGATGTTCATCAACTCGCTGAAGCTACAAAGCTCCTTGTTCACTTCCGCGGAGCGTTTGCCACTTCCATGCTGAATTCAGTCAGTCGAGTTGAAGGTCGCACGCAAGTCGCTCTCTAGAGCAGAGAAGGACTTGCTTGCAACCTTCAACTCACCATCCACAGCTGGCCGCTCTTAGGTTTCAAGCTATGGAGATTGATGTTGTGGCCTTCGAGGCTCGGGACTGCAATGTCTGCGAAAAGCGACCGGTGTTCATGGCTTGTGAAGTCCCGGCCGGGAAATGAACCAGTGACCGCAATCAGAAAAAACCACTACCAACTGCATGTTCCTCCATACTGACGATCTCTCTGCTGAAGACAATTTGTTGAAGGAGTGCCCCTGAAGCCCAAGTGCCCCTAAAGCAGGTGATCGAAGCAGGTGATTGGAGATAATTATTGGAGGAAGCTTGAACCAGAACACGTTCCAACTATTCAATTCCGCATCTGCATGCCAGGTGATGCTTTTTGGGATTGTGCGTCAAAACCGCACCCTCGGCTAACATAGCTATGGAAAATGCCCTTCCCCAAAAAAGAATGATCTACCATCATGATCTACCTATATTCAACATGGTGAGTTCTATAGCAGACTGGCAAATTACCAGAGGGATCCAGAGGGTACCCCCTCGTGAGCATGCAACATGTGTGATTCCCCAACTTGCAATTAAGATAGGCGAGGCGAGACATGGGAATGGTCATATAACATATATATATATATTGTGTATATATTGTGTATATATTGTGTATATATTGTGTATATAGTGTGTATATATATATACTGTATATATATATATTGTATGTATATATATATATATTGTATGTGTATATATATATATTGTATAGCAGCAAGGGTATGCAACTGTCACCAAGATATATTCAAAATCTATATTATGAACAAAGGCATAGAATGTGATGCATTTCATTTTTCTTTCCTTTGCAGAAGATAGCTCTGAATGACCTGCATGATGGTTACAGCAGCAAGCCTCTGGGTTCGCTGGCATTAGATCATTGGATCCCTCTGTGGTGGGATGTGTCCAACATGACCTTTTTTGCGCTGGAACTCTGTCACCATGAACATCATGAACTGCTAGGGACCAGCCCCATCAATAACACGCATTTATGAAAGTCAGACCTCCATATTATCCCAAATTTTATGGTCAATTCAAGTCAAATCATTTTAAATAATAGCGCTTGATGCATGCCAACGTTCTCCCCTGTTTCTGAAACTTTCTCCGCTTGAGCGGGTTGAGCTCTGGACCACCTTTGGCATCCAGGTACAGTCGCACTGTCAAAATGAAATGAATCGAAAAATGGGAGCACAAAAGTTGGTGCGAAAAGTATAGTTGGCTTATGTTGGCTTTATACCTCTCGGACCTCTACAGTGTGGTTAGTCAGATCAGCAGCTTCATGGCCGGCTCCCTTGTTTCGACCTTCCCTCTATCCAAATGGCCGCTGTGAAATTAACCGTCGGCACTGATTCTGTGAAGTTGCATGCCCAGCGGATATCCAACGAAGAGATATAACAGCAAGGGACCCCATAAAGTCGGCATCATCGTCAGCAGAATGGCTCCGGGCGAGGCTTTCAACTCTTGACCCTTGAGTCCCAAGCGCAGGGCCAAGGCAACACCGGGCGTGGTGAGAATGAACTGACGCCAGAAGCCAAGCTCCCTGGCAGGGTAACTCCAGCGCCAAAGCTGGAGGAATCAACTGATCATGTTTCAACGTCTTGCCATCTTCATGAGCTCTGAAGTTTGTTCATCTTAGTTCATTGGAGGTCCAACACACAGACTTTTCCTTCATGTGAAATTCCTTGCACATCTTTGCACTATCACTTAAAAACCGTCCAAAGCGTTCTCCCCAGGATTCCCCAGGCCTAGGTGCTGCTGGAATGCTCTTCCTCCAGTCCTCCATTGAAACCTCCAGCTTCTCCTTGGGCTGCGAAGGGCCATCCATGGCACCAAAGAGCAAGCCAAGGGAGACGCTGAACGCGCCGTAGAGCTGCGCATGGCGCTGGAACTCGCCCAACAAGGCCTGGAAACTTCCCAGCATGGGTCAAGCCATGGGTCTAGTCATGTACCCAGAATGGGGTGGCTCACCACTATAGTGTGACCAAATCTGTGGTCTTCCAGGTCTTAAGGTTTACCAACACTACTCCTATCTCTGTCATGACAAGGTAACCGCATAGACATCCTAAACCGACCAAGAGTGGCCCGCTGTCGTACCCGAGCTACAGTTTATCATGGCTGACTTTGACCCCACGATGATTTTACGGACTCACCAGTCAAGGCGCCTTTGCATGCGATAGTGTCATGGCACCATTCTGCAACCTGTATAGTTCTTTGAAACCATTGAATTCTGCTTGGAGGCTGCAAGAAAGATGCTCCCATCAATAACAAAATCTCACCCACTGTCTCTTTTTTGAAGTCTTCTATAGTATGTTTCAGTTACTTGGTGTTGTCACATGTTGTCACGAGTTACCCCAACACAAATTCTATGAACATCTTGGAAATGAGCAGCTCATGAATGTCGTTGCTGCCGTGGGGATGGGTCAAACAAACTCATTGGTTTTCCATGGGAAAAGGTATGGAAAAGTGGCTGTACAATCTCTGGGGTCATGGGTCATGGGCCGGTTTTTGACCTTCAGGTATTGACTTTGCGTGAGCATCTCGAACCAAAACACACAAAATGAAATGCACAAGGCATTTTTGGAAAGATGCACTTGGTCAAAGGGACTTCGCAGCATTAAAAAATATACCAGCTTGTTTACCTCGGGGGCAGAACTATTTGGAGAGGAGACTGCCCATGGGCGAAGTACCCTTTGTGAGGGTGTTGACCGCTCTGGGGTAGCTGAGTTGTTTTTGTTGCTCCCATCGTAGTCATGAAAGAATGTCCACACATTAAATGAGATATTTTTTTGCAAAACAAAAATTTAACGGGATTCGTACGGTCAAAAAGACTATGTTTGGCGTGGCCCGCACTATTTGGAGGAAAACGTTGCTTTCCTATTGGGAGCAACTTACCAATCCTACCTTGATATGACACAAAACATCACAAGACCGGTCAGACCATAAAAAATCAAGGTTCACAAAATCATGGCATCACTGGCACATTCATCTAGGGCGTTTGGATGCGTTTGGTTTGAGTGTGTGCTGAGCCATTCTCAGCCAAAACATAGCAGCTGACAGAACCGCAGTACATATTATACTGGCTCATGGAAATGCTTTCCATCTCGGGATCCCACTATACATACAGCAATCTGCAATCTGTACAAAAAGCATGGATGTCCATCCCTGTTCATGATTCACAACAAATTAATCATCACATTCATGCCCCGGCTAGGCGTAGCCACTTTTGGACGTCGGCATTAGCGCTGAAGAGCTGCTCTTTTTGAGCAGGCAGCTAAGGACTTGATTTTGGCAGATGCCCCAAGCGGAAGAATCAAGGTGGAACTGACGATGATTCCATTGCACAAGGTGCTTGGTTGGGCTGAATAGGAACCAAGTAGATAATGAATGATAATGAATGATAATGATCGAACTACATAGTCAGAAAATTGCGTGAAGAAAAACCACCCTTCTTCCGCGGATTTGTCTTTCACTGAGGACAACTCCCCCCTTTGTTCGAAAATCAAGATGACTGGCAACTTGATGGCCTTGTTCGGTCACTCATCTGATAACCTTGGTAAAAAGCCATCGGATTGCTGTGGAACAGCGAAGCTCTAATCCGGTTGGTGGCTTGGCACACGTCCCGCCAAGAAAACATTGAATTGAAACAACCGACACATGGTTGATGTCCTCGCCTAAGGTCCCATCCTGGCACTATGTTCAAGCTAATTATATACGAATATATTATATATTATTAGATATAATACTCTATAATATATATATATATTGTTGATAGCAGTCAACCAAAGGCCAAAGTGCATGGGTGATATTTGGATACGGATATTGGGTTCGGTCAACTGTCATCCTGCAGCTGACGTCTTGCAAGACAATTCATAGAATCCTAACTTCATGAAAGGTCCGGCCGGTAAAAAATACGGTTTCTTAGGTGCTGTGACGACAATGTTTTTTTGGTTCCTTCTTTTATGCCCTTCACTGCTCATGTGCTCGTTATTTCTAGGTGAAAACCGGTCGCATCCTCTTCTTCTGTTTCTTATTCAAACATTTAAATTATATAATGCAGGTGGGAATGGATTCCCTTACGTCAGTGCAGATAATGTTCCGCTTGGAGGCATATCACCCCAAAATCCCTGGGACTTACTTACGACGGCTTACCTGCCATTGTAATACTCGGGCTGGACGATTGAGAAGTTGCCCAGGTACAAATTGAAATTGAACAGGTGGATATCACAAATTGAGGATATCACAAATTGCTCTTCGTTCTTGGTCATTCAATCCGTTCAAATCCCCATTTAGTCACCAAGTCTGCGGCTGAAATGTGCTTGAAATCCAGTGGTTGATACTCATTTCCCCATCAAATATACGGATAGCTATGCGGGGATATGGAGGTGTCCTAAGTCATGGGGGTACCCCCAAAATCATCTACCATTTTTTATAGGATTTTCCATAAACCATCCAGCTATTGGAGTCTATTGGGGTCTATTGGGGTCTATTGGGGTACACCCATGACTTAGGAAACCTCCTAATATACATCTTTTTTTACTTTCACCTAGGGGTTGCCCTGCTAGGGCCCCCCGGCGTGACGTGCTCCACTCTTCTCGCGCGAGTCGAAGGTCTGCTTGGCCGACCAAGCGTTGGAGTCCGCATCCACCACTTGCCTGGCTTCCAAAGTGGGCACTTCAAGGACCACAAAGTGAGGATCAATATATCAACAGTGGTTTATAGTAACTATATGAAGCACTATTATTATTATTATAATGGATCATGCAATCATTTTAATGATACAATCATTATAATTCTTACATTCGTGGATATTATACCATATTATGACAACTATGGTTGTTGTTGATATTATATGATATTATTGGATAAATGATTAACATTGATTAATAATCTTTTGGGCCAGGCTGGCATCCCCCAAAAGAATCGCAGAGTTCCGCTGGAGCGGACTTTAAAAACAGTTTTTTTTTTTTCAACGGGTCTATATACAGTAGGTTTCAATCGGATTCCATGGGGTGATTCAAAATCAAGAATGACTTCAATGACTTGAATGACTTGAAGTAACTTGAAGCAACTTGAATGACTTGAAGTACTCCACAACGCTCTTGAATAGCTTCTAACCTGAGACCCAGAACTTGGCATGTTGACCAAGCTTAAACCGGGATGTTGGTTACGTTGCTGAACAGCTTCTCCACCAACAGCTAGAAGAGATATGGTTCATAATTGGGAGAAATACCCTCTGGTAAACGTTTACATAACTATGGAAAATCACCATTTTCAATGGGAAAATCCACTATAAATGGTGATTTTCAATAGCTATGTTAGTCATTACCAGAGGGTATCCCCAAACGCGCATCTCCAAACATTTCTCCAATAACTCCTCACCTCACCTTTTTACGAATGTGGGGAAAATCCTAATTGTCACCATCCAAACTGCAATTTTTGGGTGACACCCCATTTTGGATCATGTTGATCATTTTGAATCATTTTGGGACATATCCACGTCAAGTCATATTGTTATAATATGTCCCTTTATATCCAATATGTCCATCAAATGGTTGGTTTTGATACCCCATGTTCGGGTCTGCTCCTACCCATTTGAGGTAACTGATTGCTAACAGAAGAGGGAAATTGGTGATTGTTACCTCTTTAAATATAGGCAATTTCCATGAATTTGCCACCCAAAAGGGCCTCAAGTGTTAGGAGCCACCACAACACCGTGCCATTCCAAAACAGCCATGCCTCAACTCGCGACTGTCCACCACCGGACGGTGAGCTTCAAGGATGTTGTTGGCCTCACCCACCTTGTGCTCACCTGAGGGCAGAAAAAAGATATGCTTCAAATGTGGTCAAATTGATTGGGGTTTTCGCCTTCGATTTTCATCCAATTCTGGGAATGGGAAATTATCAAAGGAATTGAAAGTAAGCCTTTTAAAAGCCAACAACAAATGAGGAAATAGTGGGACATTAAATATCTATCAGCTGCTCCATGAGCATTTTTGGAATCAAGCACATGAGTGCTGAATGCGGATGCTAAAACAAAATGGGTGAACAGCCAAAATAGCTTAACATGGTGATTTAACCACTAGAAATGGGTACAGGATGTACCAAATTAACCTATTGGAATATCCTTCCAAACAATGGGTGATATAAAGCAACAGTTTTGTGGGGATATAATGCGGACAATAGCGGGAACATTTCGTGAAATATAGTTAGGCCGGTAATTTCACATCGCTATATGGAAATGTATGCTCATTTAATAGATGATTCACCTATATTAAAAATATTCAAAAATGATGATGTTCCTGTTCGCTATGTTAAATGACAAAAGGGTAAACATCCCCAGGTCGGTCACATCTCCCATTGATGGTGAATATCCCGGCTGTGCTCCCGCACTTTCCTTCTGCAGCACCTTGATTCTGGCTTGCCATGCCTCCACCTAGCGCCCAAAACAAAAAAGGGAGAGCCACATTTGGACACTGAACCATGCTATCAAGATCTATCAAGCATCTTGGGGGACTTGCGGGGTGTAAAATGATCAAAGAAAACCTGCCAATAACATCCAAAAACCTCCAGCATATGCTTGAGATTTTCTCAGACCTGCCATTCCTTCTTTGCAAGGTTCTGAAATACGCACCCTGGTAAACATGTGCTCATCATGGCATTTCTTTGGTGTTTAGCTCCCTCCGTAGTACCAATTGCTGCACCCCCGCCTGGGTTTGCTGCTCCTTGTCCAAGCATCCGCGTCCTCAGGGCACGGCCGGGCACGGCTAACAAGATATACAGGAAATCTGAGGATGTGCAGACACCTGAACTAGACACTTTTGGCGGGTCGAGATGGGTCGAGTCTTTCCCGTCTTTCCTCATATCCCATTTCTGCTGGTTTTTGCTCACTTCCAAACAATGAATCCACGATACTGCTCAGATTCTGGCGGTAGAAGACTTCCTGCCAACATAGCAAAATCGGGGGCCACATCAGACCCACTTATTATCCTACCAAAACATAGTATATCATAATATAGACACGTCTGAAAACAACACGCACATCAAAATACCTGTGTTGTATTACTTCCGGGGCCCGATTTATGCAGATCCCACTTGAGTACTGCTCAAAAACCTTTCTTGTTGGCTTACACCGGAGCTCGCGAGTGCTCACCATGCTCAGGGTTTACATATCTTTACCAATCACTTCCCTGAATCAACTATTGGTCTGGGAGTGTCCTGCGATGTCTTGGTCTGTACGCAGTTAAAAAAGCTTTTAACAACCCCCGTTGTGGCTCCTGTGGAGCCTCCGTGAGTTATTTCCACCAGAAAATGTAGATGGGATTGAAACCCAAATGCAAAAAATATGCGACCATCTAGGACATGGGGTTTGCCGAAATTGGCACCACTGAATAACACCAAATAAAACCTATATATACACATATATATGTATAGTATAGTATAGTATAGTATAGTATAGCATAGCATAGTATAGCATAGCATAGCATAGTATAGTATAGTATAGTGTAGTATAGTATAGTATAGTATAATATAGTATAATATAATATAATATAATATTGTATTATATAATATAATAAAATATAATATTATATTATATTATATATAAATATTCCCTATCGATTCCCCAGTCAAGGTAGATTTACCATGATGTACAAATGGAAAAATCTGGAAATCCGCCTGAAAGAAGGTGTCCACCTTGGTTCGCGCCCAAAGTGGGCCTCACCGTGGCGAAAACATTGAATCCAGCTCTGAGAATCTCTGGCCAGATGCAGAACCACCATCTTCGATAGGTGCATCATCATTGCAGATGTTCCACTTGCCAAACATTAAAAAAAACATCAAAAAACACCACATGGAGTGCTGCAAAAAGGCATGTTTAATATTTTGGATCCAACCCAAAGTCAAAATTACATATCACTTCGGAATGAGTTGGGCCAAAGAGTTTCTTTCAACAATCTGCCCGAAGGCCTGCGGTTTGTGGGGGCTACTATTACCAATCAAACAGAGTACAATTGACTTTGTAAGATCAAATCGCAGGCACCGGCAAGGGTTAGCTGCCCCGTTGAAACATGTTGAAACATGTTGAAACAACATACCGTGTGCACAGCTTAAGTTCAATCGGTGGCCGCCCAGCTCCTCCTGCCTCTGTTCTGAAAAAGGGCAAAAAGGCAGCGATGAACAAAGTCCTTACCTCAGGCGATGGTGCCGACATTGGTGAAACGAACCGGTGCTTGATCTGTTGGGAACATTTCTGCAAGCCACTGGGACTCAAATGGCTATTGGTCCAAACCCTGGTACCCCTAGTGAACATCAAAATAGCTGGTAAATGGATGTTCATTCCCCTAAAAATGGTATTAATAGGTATTGATCCATACCCATATAACCACAAGAATTGCAAAACATGAACAACAAATTGAGACGACTTCCAGTACAAAAAACAGCAACTACAGAGTCTAGAGTCCTTTGACAGTGGTGTATCATGGAAACCTTGTCAATTTCATTCGTCACTCCCTTTAAGCCCAAACCGCAAACATTGCCACTTCCTATATGCAAACATCCTTTAAGACCCATTTTGAGGTTCTCCATCCTAGCTTTCATAGTATGAATAGTCCCCGTACTCCTGGGATCATGGCCAATCTTAGATACCGCAACGGATACCCTGCATCTTTTAAAGTTAACCTGTCTCCAATCAACTTTTTTTGAGTGTGGGATAGGTCGGATTCCGGATACACCCAGTATGTCAAGTCCGTCCTTAAAAATGGTTTCTGCATTTTTTCAGCAAAATCAGCTTAGGCGAAAAAAACATCGATGACCAACCTGCCCTTTACCTCACCAAATGAGCCATGGTCAATACTCACTATATGGTTGATGGTCATCCCATCCATAATAAGGATCCAAAAATAATGGTTATTATAAATCCCATTAAATCACCATTGGATGACTAGCCCCTATTATATAATGGTTATTAACCATGAGTATTGACCATAGCTCAAATGACCACCGAACCTCAGCCCAGCACGCAGGCTGATGAGGCTCTCCTCCAAATGTGGCACGGGGAAGACGAAGCTTTCCATCTCCAAGTCCTCGGAGACGCAATGGGATGCGATGAATGCGATGACCTTGGGCTCCATGGGTGATACCGAAGATGACAATTAAAAATCACCATATGTTTCATAGGAAAATATGGGAATAGTAATATATAACAATCATTTAATATATTTAATAATCTAGAGTGTATATATATATATATGATATTGAAATAATTTAATAGTCAAACTTCATATTTAGGGTACAAGCATGGTTCCAAACCCTCCAAAATCGTTCTTGCACTTGATTGCCAGAGGGTATCCATCGGCTCATTCCCTCAGAAATCTTCTGGTTGGTGGTCTAAAATCACTAGTCTAACATCAGCCCGTTTTTCAATGCAAAGCATCTGCATGACCACAGTATGGGGACCAGATTTGACCAGATGGGGACCTTTCCATCATCAGATGGGACCCTAAAACTGGGTCCTCAGAATCGCTGCTACTTTCGATTTCCACTGACTCTTCCTGGCAGTTTTCGCAGTTCGTCTCGTTGAGAACATCATTTTCCTATGTGAAAATGGCATAACATGGGCCACATGGCACCATAGATCCAGGAGTCTGCCCCATTTAGGTCAAATAACGGTGCTTAAAGTTGCGTGAGTCGACATGAGAACAGCTCAACATGCTCAAAATATCGTGTTTTTTTTACGCCCAACTTAAAACATGTATGTTTACAATTGTTTACATCCTAAAATCCTAACATCCAGGAACATCTTAACATTTTGCTGATCGACAGAGTGCGTAGAGATTCTTTTATGGTTTCAGCAATGACTCGCCTCCTCGACAGAGCTGATCTCGCCACCTGGAAAGCTGTCACAAGTAATTCTCAACGGACACCACTGGACACCCCTCAAAATCACAAATTTGATCATTTGAGCATCTTTGCAGGGGAAAATCATGGAAAATCAATGAAAATAAGGGGCTTCAAAACATTTCAAAACCATGAGCTGCTCTTTCTTGTCCCACATCCAGCTGGAGAGTTGTAGCAGCCTTCAGCGTCGCTGTCCAAGTCAATGCAATTTGCCTGATCTGGGACCGTCCCCGACTGCAAGTGGAATGGGATAGTGTAAGTTTGCATAGATAGACTCCTCTTCTCAGCTGCCATGACTGGTAGACTCTGGTAGACTCTTCATAACCATATCTGGCCTTGCTTTTCTCTTTCTTGTTCTCCTCACAGCTTTCAAGGGTGGCCACTCAAATGAGACATGGGATAACTTGGATGACAGCAATAGATTAGCGGAGGTCCTCAGAGATGCAGCCAATTCGACGGGATAAGCATGATGAACCAAACTATAGCCCATCTTGCAGCCCCTAGCATTTTTTGAAGCTAGGTATGATATTCCTTTCTCCCAGTTGTGGCAAAAATGTTTAGATATTCAACTACCATGCGTCCGTTTACTATGTTTACACACATATAAATCTTGATGGAAAAATGGAATGGTCTCAAACTAGCGCACCAAAAAAAAAAGTGTAGGATTCTGTTTCGTTGATATAAAATGGCTACTTAAATGGACACCCAAGTTTGTTGGTCGCCCATCGGCCAGTCCTCCGAAACTTCATCATCTTCACTGCCTCAAAGCTGAGGAACTTTGGAGGATACTCCCAACTAAGATTTGGTATGGTTGGCTTCTGTAGGCGGAAATGAATACAATGGGATAACCAAAAATACATAGATAGTATGATCAGGGTTTACGATTCCCGAAATGGCTGAGCATGTGACACTCTTCCTCCTCAGAACTTTCATCGTCATCTTCGCAACCTCCTCCAAAGAAATCCTGCCAGCATCACACCACAAGCACTTTGCAGGCAAAAAAAAAATGGATCAAATGGTTTCGAGAATCCATCTGGGTAAATTACAATATTTCACTAACCTGAATTAAGGCCATTTTGGGATGATTTCCCTTACTAACCATGATTCCAGTGAGGTCATAGTGAGGTCGTTATAATTTACCCAGATCCATGCGCCCCATGCTTCCCAACACCGTGGATTAACCACGATCCGAGGCTGAAGGTTATCACCCCTGTATCAAAAGCATGGTCCCAAGTCCTTGGGGCCTCGAAAATGAGAAAACTAAGAACATCTGAAACTCTGAAAACACATCTTTTACACATCACAAAAAGAAAACGAACCAAAACCTCACCAAATACATCCAAATACTCTAGAATTGAAACAGAAATACCAAAGTCATTGATGATGTTCCCATTGAAACCTCCATTTTTCTAGGGGATTTCATGGGATTTCCCAGCCATGTTTGATAACACCAGCGCAGCGTCCTCACCGTCGCTGGCCTCTTGCCTCATGTGGTACACCCACCATAAACAACTACCATTTGGGGATGGATATTACCTACTCTGGATGGTTGCGAAATCCTGCACCAGTTGGTAACTGCTAACTATGAAACACTGTAAATAATGGGAGAAGGGTAAACCATCTACCAACTGGTGAAGTATTTCTTCCACAGTATGGTAATATGAGGGATGATTTTTAATTGAGTTGACCACAAGAATGTAGCAGGGTATTTGCATCCTGAAAAAAGGTTTTAAATTTATAGTGTTCAAGTCCCTTGGGGATTATCATCTCACAATAAGACAGTAAGTTCCAGTCCCAGAACTGGTTGAAAGGTAAACTCGCAAGTTTTAATCATCTAAGTCGAAGCAAATGCGTGAAGCATTTAATCCTGCAAGTTGTCCTTGCAACTTTGCTGTTTTACCCCCCAGAAGAAATATAGATGTCCCTGTCTTGGCCGATCTTCCATGAAGAAACACAACAACATCAAAAAAACACCTCAAATAAAGCTCGTGTTTCCTTGTTGTACATCTCACTGTATACCCATCATATCCCGCAAGTGGGTTGGTTTACCCCATATCTTTGTGGGTTCAACCCAGCTAAAAATCAACCCAGTGGGAGCCCCTACTTTGGCTCGACGTGCCCATTGGCCCTGTCATGAGGTCGTTGGTTGTTACAAACTTGGAGGGATATCGAGAATATCTGCTGGGTGGTTCCTGTCAGTTTCAACCCTTCCCATGGCCATATGAATCAAGTATATAGCGTAGCCATGCTACTTGTATAATCATGGGGTTGAGGTGGGTTGACAATTTCGAATACGTGGTTTGAAACCACTAAATCCAAATGTGCACACTGGAAGTCAAAACCATAGAAAATTAGTCGGGTTGCTGTCAGCATGCTGTCAGCCATGTCTATGACCTTCCAGTCTTGGAATCAGAGAGATCTGTTCAGCTGCTGCTGTCTTCTCTGCTGCCACAGAAGCAATCGTAGCGAGTCTTAAAACTGAAGACCCACCACGCATGCTTGTCATATTTGGATGTCTAGTACTACTGTGGTAGCCACCAACAATAAACTCCCATGGGTTTTTCCATCGGTCTATCTCAAGACCAATGGTCAATTAGGGTCTGGTTCCCGAATGACTGGATTTTCCATCTGACTAAAGTTATAAGTTACAAGTTGCTAAAAATAACATCACTTAACATCACTTTTTTCTGTATCCATAAGCCCATCCCAGGTGGGGCTGCATCCCAGCGCCCGCACGAGGCAGCTGGGGATCGGGCGAACTGGGTTCCTGGCACGATGGACGGCGCAGGAAATGCGGATATTTATATGATTTTGGATGTGTGTTCAACTGCAAAATGAGTGGATAACCACCATGTTGTAGCCAATAGGTCTTTCATATTCTTTCTAAAGCCTCAATTCAATTCAATTTACAATTTTTCCCAAACATTTTGTACGGTACTTTGAGGGTCTAGGTTGAGAATCCTTCAGGAAGACACACAGGGGACGAGAATGGACATCTCATGAATACTCGTTGATATCTTGATGGCCATGGGGATTTCATGCAACCAGTTCGTGCATGGTCAATTCTCTATACATGAATAATATATACATACAAGAATGGTACATAATTGTACCATAATTGATCCATATTGTACCAAAAACCCGGGGAAGCAAACATGGGCCTACCAGCAGTACTCGCTAACATGGTCACCAATACGTATGTTTAAGTGAGGATTACTTTCATGGTACTCATTCACCAACAGATTTCCATGGGTTCACAACCCAGCATACTGTCGAGCCTACGCCACATGCCCAAATTGCAAACACAACCTGCGCCGTCTAATAGCCTACGTCAAAAATATGCTCGTGGAAATCACTCATCATCTAAATCCCTGCATCCAGAAAAAGAAACTACTCACATGAAGTTTTATCAAAAATTAAAAAACAATCACAGTAGGTAGCTTCAACCCTCCCCAGCTGCCCACCACTGGTTCTGCCAGCTTGGCTTTCTTTCCATTGGCCTGCAGATCTTGCTGCATCGCTACGTGAGGAATGGTCGTTTGTCTGCCTGAAGAAAGGGATAATCCGAACAATAAAAACCTGTCCAAGACCCAAATTGGAACATGACACTAAAACATCAAACCAAAATAATTCAAGCATTCCTCGGCCTGTTGTGCATCGAACATGACTACCCACTCTTAACACCCCTCTTCCAAAGCTGTACTTTGGGTATCAAGCTATTACACTTAGAAGTGATGCACTGCGGTGACAATCTCTACTACTACACGTTCATACTAAACAATTGTCGACTCCTGTGTTGTGAAGAAGATTAGAAATATGTATAATCATATATTCACACATAGTATGTATGTATATAGACTCTTAATTTATGTATATATATAATATGTATATATTGTCATATATATATGTATATAATATGTATATGTTGTTCTATATATAATATGTATATGTTGTTATATATGTATATTTATTGATTGATATATTGATTTATATATATATATAATAACATAACAATAATGTGTATATATATATATCCGCCATATTAATCATATATAAATATAAAATATGAAGATACCCGTCGCTTCTCCACCTTCAACTCCTCCAACTTCGCTTCCAAGGCTTCCTCCTCCTTGGCTTCCAGTTTCGCCTCCGTTTTGGCCTCACTCTGGAACTTGGCGGGTCAAAAAAAAAATGACTTGGGGGAGGGCCACTTGGGGGGCCCCAGGTTGAAGCTTCATAATGGTTAAATAATGGTTAAATAATGGTTAAATAATGGTTAAATAATGGTTAAATAATGGTTAAATAGTGGTTAAATAATGGTTAAATAATGGTTAAATAATGGTAAATAATGGCAAATAATGGTTATATAATCATGGTTAATAATGGTGAATAACGGTTAATAATGCTTAACAATGCTTAACAATGCTTAATAATGCTTAATAAATCTTAATAATGGTTAATAACGGTGATATATAAATTACCCAAAAATACCAAGAACTTATCTGGACTGTGTGAAGAAATTGAATATATCCCGCCAAGATGATTATTCCTAACATTTTCAGAGGTCCATCTGGGTTCGCAAAGAAGGAACGCATATGATATCCTATAAAACTTGGCATCTTTAAGGAGGAGCTAAGGAATTCATGTGAGAACACATGGGTCTAACAACCTGCCAATTCCACTTGCAAGATCTTGCTGTGGAGCGGAAGACCTTTCAAATACTATGGCTTTGACTTGATAAACTGCAGAAAGTTCCCAGTTAGTTAGGCAAACGGTAGCAAGCGTCGACAGAAAAGGCAGAAAGCATAGCATATCAATTTGTCATTTAGGGATGCCAAAGAATCGGCAAGTGCTGGGCATCTTCGCTGATGGGTCCCAAGTACTTGGGAAATTCGAAGTCTTCCGCAGTTCCGAAGATATGGTGATAGGCCCTGCCCCCACTTCTTACACATCATGAAGTTGTAAGTTATAAGCTGTTATAAGCCAAGTCCCAATCACTTCCCATTGCAGACGAGTATCATGATAACAATAAGTGTTATCATCCGGTAAATTGATATATATATATAGCCATGGAAGCCATGGCACAACTAGTTCGATGATTTAATTACTTGCCTATTAAACAACGGTGATTTCCCATATAGCAAACTGTCAAATTACCGGTACAACGCCATCCAAATCTCTGCTGATAGCTGGTTTCGGAAAGGCCCATGGCAAAACATGGACCGCTCGGGCCTCAAGCTTCGCCTCATTTCTGGCAGCTTTGCGCTGCTTCTCTTCTAAGTAGCTGTCCACTGCCGATTTGTGCCTTGAATCTTCAGAAGATGTCTTTGGAGATCAATCTGATATGATCGTTCATCGACATTTGGGTCAAATTGGACTGATTTCGGTGTTGCAAATCACCAATATTTGGTGTCAAAAAATCGGACGATGTGTACGTATAACACTTGGTTAACATGACCAAAATCTACATGCGTGAAGCCTCTTCTGACTCCCTGCCGTTGCCATACAAAAGACCCACCTGGTTTCATAATTTCCGCAACGAATTTGCCGCTCTGGGACTCTGGGATACTGGCTCCTCGATGAGTGCAAACACCTACAGGCTACCAGGTCACAAAGCTGGGGTCAGGTCCAGGGGACCTCCCTGCAGTGGGATGGTCGAATCAGGGTCTGATATTTTGACCGGCAAAAATTCCACCGGGCGACATGATCTTTTGAGCGTTGAAATGGTGCGCGTGACATGATGGAAAAGATCTTCCGAGTTCTCCATGACTACCAGCGAAAGAGGACTACCCAACTACCGTTGACTGTCTCTGAACATTCCCAGTCTCTGACTGTTTTAGGACATCTGGGGGCCAGGCTGCATTCAGCTTCGTGATGGTGCTCGACAATGTAAACGCATCGTCGGTGAAACACTGACCTCAACTCAACATGGGGCTCTCTTCCGGCAATGGGAATCATCAACCACCTCTTAACTTTGGATACATATGGTGGATATATTGTGTGTAATACTCTAATATATATATGCGTATATATGCATGTATATATATATATATGTATAGATACATACAAGATCATACAAGTATACACATACGTGTATATACAATTATATACATGTACACATATTGTCTACATACAGATGTATTTATAACTCGGCTCTTTTTTGTTGCGCCCATTGAGATGGGCTGTTCATCCCTCCATCTGGGCGGCCAGACACCACAAGACAGAAGCCAACTGCCATGCACGGCCAATCCTCAGTATCTCAGTGACACACCTGGTTTCTATCAATGTATCCCCAGCAGGTTGGTAACAACATGGAAAAATATGGAAAATCCATGTATAAATTATAAATGGATGATTTTTTCGGGGTAGCCCTCATTTCAGGAAACCTCCATGTGGGGTTGTTAGCAAAAATACAGGCTACCCCAAAATCCCCATGTTCACAGTGTATCATCATTTCGGAGACTACGTGTATATATATATATAATTACATATACATACACACACATATATATATATATATTATATCACAAAAAAAATAATACATTGACATAGGTCTCTCATGGTTTCTCATAATTTTCTAGGTCAAGATGGCCATAGACTGGGGGGGACCTCGCCTGTGTCACAGACAGGTGGGTTTTTCGAGTTTTGGATCTGGGGACCGTGCATTCGATGCTTATCGTCCTGGCACCGACGTTCTGGGTGATGTGTAACATCCATTAAATTCCTAAAACCAACGAATGGAATATGACAAGATATGACAAGCCACTGTCTCCTACTAAGTATCAGATTCTCAGATTCCCCTATCTTGGTGGGTTGCTGCTGCAAGTCTGCAAGTCAGGAACATGCCCTCTCGCCTGTTCAAACCACTGGGAGTTGTATGTGAGGACATACTCAAAAACCTAATGGGACTGCTGAGCTGCACTTGGTGAGACAATCTCAAGGTGGCCTAGCTGGGCTTCGGGGGTGCAACAATAGAGACCCGAGATAAGAAACGTGGCAACCAACATCCAAATCAGCAACCTCCTGGTTGACCCTAGAAAGAATACATTGTTTTGTTTAATGTCCTTTGAGTATTTTACAATATTTTATAGTAAAAGTTTGATTAAGCCAATTCCCATAGCCGCAACAGGATTCCTTCCTTGCCGGACCAAGCACATACAGTATTCCATTGGAGGGTAGCCTGAGCCGACCGAACGCAAATGACATCTTGCCGACCTTCTTTGTCCTGGGCCACTCAGCTGACCATAGAGTGCTCTGTGCTCGCATGAAAAATGGAAGAGCATGGATCTGGGTAAATTATAATATTTCACTAACCTGAATTAAGGCCATTTGGGGATGATTTCCCTTATTGACCATGATTCCAGTGAGGTCGCAGTGACGTCGTTATAATTTACCCAGATGGATCAAGGGTGGCTACCCACCCAATTTCTTTACTCATTGATATCCTGGATGAAAAGCATTGACACTTGTCCCAAGTTGGCCTTCAAAGTTTTACTTCCCCTCCTGCCATCTCCTGCCTCTGCCAGGAAAGGCAATTTGGTGACGTCATTGAGCACTCTAAAGACATACTCGCGATTGTCCACGTTCATGTATTCCTCCAAGGCATCACTTGGTAACCAGCTAGGAGAACTGGGTGGTGGTACTTTTTCACCCACCCCAAAAAAAAATTGGGTCGTCAAACAGGAACATCATCCGAGGGTAGGATGGGAACACGGGAACAAATACAGAATTTGAAACCAACAACCAGTTACCCTCTGGTAAACTAACATAACTATGGAAAATCACCATTTTTAATGGTTAAATCCACTATAAATGGCGATTTTCAATAGCTATATGTTAAATTACCAGAGGGTAAGGTACTTTCGAGAGCGACAAGTGGACTCGCAGAACTTCCTGAAGATGCTCACAAGAAATCGGCCACTGCCAACTATTGTTCTAACATGTTTTTTTTTCTTACGGGTTGATCACCCATGTTTGGTGACATCCTCAAATCTCAATCAGCAACCACCAGCCTTGCAAGGAACTATCCTTTCATGATCCTCCATGAAACAATAACAAGGTTCATTCATTATATACATATTAATACATATTATATGATGTTCTTTGATTTTCCCTTTCGACAAATCGCCAAAATTCCGGGAGTCGGAATCACGATTTGACCACCGGGGTCTATGGCAGCTAAAGCGTACCTTGATCCATCGGTAGAGCAACTTCACCACCTAGCGGGCCCCACTCCAGGTGCTGTGACAACTATTTTGATAATATGTTGAATTATGTTGACATTGATGGGGTTCTAAATGGCCCCAACCAGGGTTTTCAACCAATGAATTATGGTGAACATTGGTGAACAACACACAAATGGTAGGTGCCCATCAGATATCATGTTCCATGAATGGGTGATGTATTGGATCAATGCAAACTTACCTATCGCATCGCTATAGATCCGCCGATGAAAACGACACATACCCAGCTCCAAGGATCCATGAATCCCAAAAAATATCAAGTTCTGAACGATGGGGATCAGCATATGAATAGAGGACAAAATGAGTTCTTAAATTTAATGCCATGCACAAATTAGGGTCGTCCCCTATCGGTTGTGAGGATTTCAGTACTCCTGGAAGTATCACAAATGGGGTATCGGTATAGTGTGCAACCTCAGAAAGGCCAAGGCGAAGCAAGAACAAATTAGTATTACATGTTTATTTTGTTTGTCGGTATATGTTTTGAAAGCATTTGAAAGCTAGACATATTTGAAACCAGAAACCGGATATCGTAAAGATTCACTAAGATTCCTTAAAGATGTTGTAAAGATTCAGTAGAGATATGTAACGATTTATAATTTATGGAGTGCTTCGACAATGCCCCTCTGGTTTGTCCCACAACGTGTCTCCGCATTGCCCACCTTCGGGAATTTGGTCTTTTGCGGCAGCACTGCGGCCAAACGTTCAAGACCTGCAGGATGAAGCTCTGAGGAAGTCAGGAGATTCTTGGGAAAAACTGCACATCCAGGATCCACGTGGACCTTTGCTGAATTAGTTGATTCAAAAATGGGAACCAGCCCCCTTTCCAGTGCTCTTCCTGCTGAAACCACCCCCCAACTCATCCAAAATTGGTCATGTCTAATGGTTTTGATGGGAATGGTCCAATGGTTTCGTGTGCCCCAACACCCTGTCTGCCTTGCAAAACATCCACGTTGGGCTTTTTAGGCCTCAGAGAGAACTGAAGAGAATCAAAACTTTAATCTGATCATGTTGATGCTGATGTCCAACTGCAGGTTGTCCATCCCACTTCAAAATGGGTTTGGCATGGTTTAGCAAACATGTCGATTTGGGACACTTGTTCTGCCCATGATTCCCGACATCTTTCCAGCCTCTGTGCCAAATTTCATTCCCCCACTGAGTGAAGCATCTCAGCTCACTTGGATTTGCTTCAGGGAGACCATTAAAAAATATTGCCAGTGGATTCCACCAAAATGGTGGCTTAACCAATAATAAGAAAAGAACACATACTAAAAATCAGTGACTCAGCAAATCATGGCTCAAGTAATGCTCAAGTTGCATGCTGGGGCCATGTCTTGTTCATTTGTTGCCGCCGGCGTTTTTTCCTTCGCTGTCTCTCTCTCCAGCCAGTGGGGATCCTCTCCTGCCCAGCACCCAAGGGAACATTATGGAACATCCATCTGAGAAGTACTATATCAGTCTATATCAATATTACATAACCCATAGGATCCATAGTGCTGGTATATATGCTAACATTTGGGGTATATTGATGGGATCCATGTTAGCATATATACCAGCACCATGTATCCTATGGGTAATACTACCGGAGACTTGTGGAGCCTAAAATGATGACTCAACAAAAAGATACAAAAAGATACTTTGGCCGAATTTGCCTTTCGCTTACAATGTGCGTTCCAAACTGCGACACGGACATCCTGCCTAGGCTGTTTGAGATACAACCAGGGTTTGTTGATTTTCTCCACCATATTAACATGGGTTCGAGACCAATAAAGTCAACTTGATAGCCCATGCGATTTCAGGGCACCCATTTTTGGACAATATATGTTTGGATGATATCTCATATCTCTCCACGGTGTGGGTTGTGCAAGAGTCGGTGGCCAGCTCTGTTGCCATCAACTGGCTGAAGAAAATTTCATGTTTCACCTGAAATGGATAAATATCCAATCAGGTCACTTCAAGAATGTTCCCCCTACCCTCTGGTAATTTAACATAGCTATGGAAATCACCATTTTTAATGGGTAAATCCACTATAAATGGCAATTTTCAATAGCTATGTTAGTTTACCAGAGGGTAACATTTGCTAACCATCTCTGACCATCATTCATTTAGCTATATTTGGCTTCATGGCTTCAGTCGCTCCTTGTCTCCCGGCAAGTGGAAGCGCTTCTCCCCCTTGCGTTCCTGACGACACACAACGATTAATGGCAACCATGGATTTTCTCAACCCCCCATGGGTCAACTAGGTCCCCCCAGTGGCCTCAACTGCAAATTCTTGTCGCTGAAAACATCACTGTTTGGTGAGTTTAATGAACCAAAAAAGGATCCCAAAAGATGATAGTCAATGAAGTATAATGAAGTATATGGATGAAAATCATCAAAATCGAACTGAAACCACCAACTTCACCAACTCGATGGATTAGTCATGATGCTGGCAGGACATAATATCATGACAAGAGTCAGGCTACTCAGTCTACCTTCACAGTTTTCAGCTTCAGCTGCGCCGTGGCGTGACCCAACCTGCTTCAGTTTCCTCTTGACCCGTCGATCTTTCTTGATCTCCTTGGTCCTCAGACCCAGTTGGCGGTCCCGGCGAACAAATCCCCAGCTGGATGGCCCAAAATTGTCGTCGCTGAGCTTTCAGCTGGTGGTTGAAGTGTCGGTCCAACCTGCGCGACGTGGGCTTCCAATGTTCGATGCCCAAGGGATTCTGTTGCTACAGATTCAAAACACACATACCTAGAGCCCAGTCCAAGCACTTGGATCCCATGTTGAACTTGAAAAGCCAACCTTCGTTTGTCTTCCGGCTGAATTGAAGCTGTTCTACCTACCACCAGTTTCTGGGTAGGTCTGCTTGTGAAGTTCTAGTATCCATGGGTATCCCAAAGTGAGAATGATTAATTTGTAATGTAATTATTGATTGTCCATGATTATCCAGTTGTTGACGTTACTGCATTAGCTACTTGAGAGCCTATGGATGGAAAAACTGTTCCTGGTGTCACGTTCCTTTGCTGCAATGTCGTCAACATGCATCCCCCTTCTGTGGCCAAGTGGCTCTCTTTCTTTGCGACCTCTCCCAAGAAGTTTGTAAGCTCCTTCACCAATCCTCAAAAACAGGCAGCAAGCATCGTGATGCAAAATACAGTACAAGCAGTCTTTCTTGTAGAATCTTGTGCAATATTCCCATATATTTATATATATTTATACGTTATATATCGTTATATTCTTCCCACTTCTTCCCGTTTTCCCATGAAGTGTACTATATCTTGAGCCATGCAATGGCCACATCTCTGAGGGAGTGCACTTCTTCATATTTCTTTGTACCATTTCAAAGGCCTCGACCGGCGGCTGCAGCTACCGCGACCGCGATCTAGCTGCGCTAGTGGCGTAAAAACTTTGGCGAAGCGGCGCCTCCATGACTTTCTTGGCCTGAAATTTGTTCTTTTCGGACGCATATCTTTTGTACCTCGGTCCGACTCGGCATTTTTCGGCAGTGCCCGGCAGTGTTGAAAAAAGTGGTCACCCCAAAGATGGCTATAATGATATCAATGGGTCATCCCCACTAGCCATTGATCCCAAATCAAAGAAGGCTGAACGAAGCGTGTGTAATTCTGATTGGTTGTCTCCCCACGTTTTGTTGGTTTTGCTCACCTTAAAATGTGGCTGGTATCGACATGATAAATCCCATCTGTCAGTGGCCAAATCTTCATATTTGAGGTTTTTTTACCGTTATATACCCATGTTTATCAGTTATTGTGTTTGTTCCCCCTTTCTGTTCCCAGTAAAAAAACACGCGCCATCTCTGTGGGATTCATATGTCATTCATGTTGTAGAGCAAGGGCGCAATGTGAGAAGATTAGCAGCTAGCCCATGTGGGAATGTCAAAATCAATTCATATCAATTCAAAGTCCATGATAGTCCATGTTTGTTGTTGATACCTTTACTGTTTTGGGTGGTCTGTAAATGATCTATCCGGCACAGCTCTACTTCTTGGCTGGTTTTGGTTTTTCCTCGGTAAATATCTGCTGCTTGTTGCGGGTCTCCACATTGATGCCCAAGTCCTTTCTGAATGGTGCTGATCCCCCCTAACTCTGCCGCGTGGGCAACTTATCAGTTGTAAGGTAATAATCATATAAATTAAAAAATATACTGCAATGCAGAATAATAATTCAAAAACAAAACATACGTGGTCTTCAGGGGTGGTTTCCCTTTGTTATAAAGTAGGGTGATATTGGTAGTTGTTAGGTGCCGATTTGATGGCCATAGCTCAATCCACCATTTTGAGCTGGTTTTAAGCTGGTTAAAGCATGTGAAACAAATCTGTATAGCCATTCACAGATGAATCTTCCATTGAATAAGAAAAAACACATATCATGGTGTAAATCCACAATTCTGGCTGCCAAATACATATATGTGTATATATAATATATATATATATATGTATATATAATATGTATATAAAATTATATATCTATATAACTATGTATATATATACATAACTATATATATAATATACAGTGTGTATATATATATATACATAACTATACATATGTAATATACAGTGTGTATATATATACAATAATATATATATATATACGTATAGATATAGGTCTTCCCATCCTTTTCCATCCGGTGCCTTTTTGATTCCCCACAAAACCATGGCGATCCAATCCCGCACAAACCATCCTGGGCATTCCGGGCAGCTTCTTGGCGCGTTGTCGCACCTTATCCAGATCGCTCGGATGTTTCACCTCGCAGGGAGCTGAGAGTCTGGGATCTCACCCGCAAAACCAGACAAGTTGAATCGAACTTAACTCAACAGTGGTGGATTTAAATATGATTTTTCATGGTATTTCACCATCCAAAAAATGAGATAGCCTCTGGTAATTTGACGCCTTGTGAACTGGAAAATCATCATTTTGAGTAAATGACACATCTAGAAATATACCATTTTCCATAGCCATGCTGAATTACCAGAGGATATATATATATATGCTTTAACCCAAGAAAATGGGGAAATATGTATACATAATATCAAATTTATATAAAACAAAAGATCACGAGGTCTTGGTTTTTTTTTGCAGGGTCTTTTGGTACCCAATAGACCCTAAAAAAACAAGACCTCGTGAAAATTGATACATAGATTAGTAATACTGTGTCACTAAGTGAAAACTGCTGAGGCCATTAGTATTGATGATTCCGATACCTCGTCAATTCTTGTATATTCTGGATTGATTTAACTTGCATAGATTGTTTCTTGTTGAGACTGGTTTTGCAAGAAATCACTAGATTACAGTCTGTGAAACATCCTTCTTGGAAATCTGATTGGAATATGGTGATCTCTGACCGCCTTTTGAAGGTGACCTTGGAGATTCCAAATGGGACATTTGCCAACCAAGAAGTTGATTTGCTTCAATAATACTTCATACTATAGAATTTCCTTTCACCAGTGATATTTTTCCGTGTCAAAAAAAAAATATGCTGTGCTGCTATACTGTAATATCTACTGTATTTGTGGGTACCCTCTGATTATGTAACAGTTCGCCATGGAAGATCCACCCATTTTATAGCTTTGGACATCCATGGATATCCATATATCTGGTATATACCCTCTGGTTATGACAAACAGTTTGCCATGGAAAATCACCATTTTTGATAGGTAAACCATCTATTTCTATCACCCATCTATACCATGGCTATGTTAGTCACAGTCGCTGGCATGGATCCAGCCTGGCTCGCTGGGACGCCCAGAATCTTGTACGGATCCATGGCGGATGTTGATGGAAAGTCAACGGGACCCCCGGGATCTGGCCCTTTTTCTGAGGGATTGAAGGCATGAATCTATGCATATATACATATACAAGATATGTATGTATATATATATGTGTATGATGTATTTGTGTGTATATACATATATATATATATGTGGATGACATTATATAGATATGCAGAATATACTATAATACAAATCCTATTCGATGATATACCATATAGATAACCACCAACTGTTAAACTTATGTGGATACTGGTTGGTGTTAAGTATACCAATGTTTGGTGGATTTCATACTTAGTGTATATATATATATTGGTTGGTATGGATGGAAATCATATCAAATACAGTATGTTTGATGACGTAAAACGGGGGTGAATGTGCTCAAATGTGCAAAACCACGCGGCGGATACCACTGATGAATAGATGCGTTTGCTGTGTTGATTCAAAATGATCTAATGGTTCTCTTTCTTTGAGTCTTCTTCAGAAGCTGCGGACTGAATCTGAGGAAACCTATCTGCACTGGCTACGCTTTGCAAAGCTACAGCCCAGCCACGGCACAAAGGAGACAAGTACGCATCGTGCCAGAATAGATCACATGCCGCCCGTTTTCACATGTATAATTAATTATAACTCATGAATATTCATTACGCATAGCCCAAACTATATGAAACAAAACACGATTGAATATAGTTTGGGATCATTGAAACCATATTATCATTAAAATATGTTGAAACTGTATTAAAACAACAAGAATTTCTGGGATGATTCGCCTGACCTGTCGCGTTGAAGCAGCTGGCCATCTCCGCTGCCTTGCCAGGCCTGTTTTCTCCTAAAGATGACCAGCTTTGGATAGCCATTGAAAATCACTATTTTTGATAGGTAAACCATCCTTTTCTATGGGCCATCTATACCATGGCTATGTTAGTCATAACCAGAGGGCAGATATATTATGATATATCTACAGTATGACCTGGGTCTATCATTACATTATATAATTATATATATATATATGTATGATTCTATATGAGTATCTGTCCATTCGGATCCATTGCAACTGCGACTTTGGGAGTGGGTCACACCAAATCCTGCCATGAAAATCCCCCACCCAGCTGCTGCGAAGCCCCTTTTGAGCAACTCCCTGCTGTAAGTTTTCACAGCAGGGCCACCGAAACCCATCAGATCAGACGGGTTGGAGTGAAACTGGCTGGACAGCTGGACACCTCTGAGATCGGGGACACCAGACATTTGGGGATCAAAATCTCTGTACCACCGGGGAACAATGAACATAATGAACGTTAGTCATTTTTTCTTGGTCATCCTTTTTTGGAGATGATTTCCATCAGCGGTGTTGTCAGGACTACTTTCCAATGTATCAATGCTACAGCTGTAGTTCGAAGTAGCAGAGGATCCCTTTCCCGCCTCTGCCGAAGGGTGGATGTCAGAGGGGCATCATCTGCAGATTAAAAACTTGGAGTCTGTGGGTGGTTCCTCCAGCAGACTTTGGGTACTTTTGGTCAGCTCCGAACACTCTGAGGACCTCAGTTTGCGCATGGTCAAGCTGTTGAGGACCCTAAAATGCTTTGGGTGACCCTCCTGCAGTCTAACATGCACTTGAGCATCGCTCTTGTATATCCATTTCTGGATTCTAGATGATCTTCCAATATCTTCAAGATTCCCTATTGCCACTTACGATTATCGCGAAGAATTATCGCAGAAATGAACCGTCAATCTGTGGTCCCCACCAGCGGGTCTTATTTTTTCCCCAGACCCATAAATCTGGAAGAAAACTGAATCCAACATATCTTCCCGTGAACAAGGGTATTTGACTTCTAAGTTGACAGTGACAGTGTTTAAGCCTCCCTGAAACTTGTGAGTCCATCTCCAACCATACCTTAAACTACCCTGCAACACATTGGCAATACCAAGGTCAAACACTATGTCATCATATATTTCAGCCCATAGAGATCCCCACCGTCATTAATTATCTGGGGGTGGATGGATCAAACGTATTAAATCAAATTTGGAGGGATTGTCAATATCTCTAACAAAAAATAGCCACTGTGGTAAACACAATTTCATAAACCACCCCCAAGTCATAACCATTTTATTTTTGTGGGATTTGAACCGTCCCTAAATGGTAGTTGTTCATGGCACTGGGTGTTCCACATGATAATCTTTAAAAAAAAAATCCATCATTCATAGATTATGTGTTCCTTTAAAATACAATTTATAAAATCCTTGAGCTCACTGGAAGTGCCCTGCCTTTTTGATAGCCATTTGTGAGCGATTCTTTGGCGTCAGCCTAGGAATGGTGAAATTCAGACCGAATTCACGCGCGACAAGCCAGAGTTTTCATGGGGATCTAGGTGTCAGAGTCCTGCGTTGTAATATATATATATACACATACAATAATGTATATATATATATATGAATATGTTATATATTATATTATATATATGTTATATATATATACATATACACAATATCGATAGATAGATAGATAGATTAGATTAGATTAGATTAGATTAGATTAGATTAGATTAGATTAGATTAGATTAGATTAGATAGATTAGATAGATTAGATTGGATTAGATTAGATTAGATTAGATTACTGTAGATTAGATTACTGTAGATTAGATTAGATAGATAGATAGATAGATAGATAGATAATGTCTGCATATATACATATATTATATATATACATATATTCTATTTATGTATATAACGCATATTGCATATAGATATAAATTGATACAATATGCATTTATACATATATATATATATGTATAGTTGTACACATATATGATATATATATATATATTAATTATATACATGTATGATATATGTATGAATATGTAAACAATATATATATATATATATTGTTTGTACAATGTACATATATATATATATTCACACATCCAAGGTTGATGGTTGAGCCACCCGCCTCCGAAATATTCGTTTGGATTACTATCCCAAATAGAGTTGCAAATAGATGTAAATAGAACATATTTGAAAGCACCCACCAGATATAACATATGTATATATCACGGCATTCCAACATTACTACTACATTTATCATCATTTATCTACATTGGCTAAATTATGCTAAATTGTTGCAGTCCCCAGTGACTTTCCATCACTTGTCAGTGGCAATCGTATTGTCTGTCGCTCTAAACTTTCAATCTGATTTGTCCCCCTTGTCACGAAAGAAACTGGTTGGGGGATTCAATCAATGGGTTGATTTAAGGGAACATTTACTGGAAACCATGGGTTTTTGCATGGAAATAAGGGGGTTCCAAGCCAATTCAAAGATTCAACCCATTGCAAGAACATTGGTCCATTACTCTAATCATCGCGGTGTGGGGGTCGGAGCACAACCAAACACAATTGACATCCCGAACTAAACAAAAGAACGAATCATTCGCGCGAAATAATAGGTTCAACCTGGGATTTGCATGAACTATCAGGACGCCAGAAACAGAATGAACATACTAGTAGTTCATGCCTTTAAAACAAAACATTTGATTTCCTACGCACCAAAAAAATCTGGAATTTAACAGCTATGATCCGTGCAGCGTCAAATACCTGGGAGGCGCACTGGCTTTTCATCAGATGCCTCTGCAGAATTCGCGCTTGATCTCTGTCAACAATCATGAACAGATATGAAAAGTATTGAAAAATCACATCTACAAATTGAACATCAGGCACGAACACGATCAAATCATGTTGCAACGGCAAAGAATCATCAGCCGTCGGATTTTGTTTCGCTGACCACCGTTTTGGGCAGGGTTTTGGTGGATACCGCTGAGCTTCACACTTCGTGTACCTGTACCCCGGTGCATCGGGGTTCAGGGTTCCACTATGTTCCACGGGATTCAAAATCCCAATGTTTTTCAGTGGGTCCCATGTACCCTCTGGTAATTTAACATAGCTATGGAAAATCACCATTTTTAATGGGAAAACTCACTATAAATTGCCATTTTCAATAGCTATGTTAGTTTACCAGAGGGTAACGTACAGGATCAACCAACTTTTTTCGCCACTGACAAAATGTATCATATTTAGATGCTGAAAATCTGATCAGCGCCACAGGACCATCCCCAGAATTCATTGGCGATGTCCCAAAAAGACAGAAAAAGTGGATCCCTCGTATTGGTGGTTGACTTTTTTATCTTGACCTCCAACTTCCAGAGATCATTCACAGAATTCCCAGGTGTTGATCTGTGACTTCTGGATAGAGGTCACCATTGCCGACAAATGCTATGCCCCCTCATGAAACCCATCTTTCAAACTACAGTGCCTCTATCATTGGTGATGTCTCCATTTGTGTTTCTTGACCTTCCCTTCATCTTTGATGCGTTGGCGAGCTCTATGATCTCTATGATCTTGTGGGTTATAAGGTTATAATCTCCATCGTCAACTGGCCGTGGCTGATTCAGATCCAGTGGCAACAAATGCCATAAAATGATGTACCCTCTGGTAATCAAACTTTGCAAGGGAACATCCCCTATAAATTTGGAGGTTTCTAGCTGGGAAAATCATCTTCAACGGTGCATGTTCAATTGCCACGTTAGCTACTTGGCCTTGCATTTGAGTTTGTGAGGTGTCAACAACCCATCTGGACTTGAGATAAATCCCTCTAATCTTGCTGGGTCACTTCATATCGCTATACCCACTCGCAAATTGGGATGCACATCATGTATACATATTCCTCACATTATCCCTTTCTTATGCTTCCTTTCCCACTATATCGCACTGTATCCCATAAAATGGTTGGTCTTGTAACCCGCATTTGATATCCCTCATGTTTTGCATGATGACTCATGTCATGACATCTCCATTTATAAATCTTCATTTGTCCTGGTTAAAACTTCATTTTCGCTGGTCAAATCTCATGAAACCCCATGAAAAATCCCATGGGATCCTATGCTAAACTAACAGGGATGTCGAAACACCACCAATCGCAGATCATCACAATCCTATAGGGAAATCATGGGTTTTCCACATCGAACTGTTAGTTTAGCCTGGGGTAAAACCCATGAAATCCACATCGTTTTGCTGCTTAAATCTCCGCTTGTTCCACCTTCTCCAAGAGCCAATTCTGCGTCTCCAGCGGTACGCAAGGATCGGTGGCCTTCAATGGAACATTTAATGGAACTTTTGTCTGGAGAATCAATGGAATATAATATAATAATACCATTTCATACCAGAATGAATATAATAATGGTATAATAATGGTATAATATTATATGCATTCCAATATATGGTAATTCTACCATTTTAATCAATTATGAATATAATAATGGTAGACAAACAGCATTTCTAAAAAAGAGCTGGCAAATGGTGGAGCCCCCTGAAGAACATCTGGGAAAAGGATAGTCATCCAAGGGGTTAGGGTTGAATTCAAATGAATTGGGGTTGAGGACTGATATATCCTCTGGGGGCCCCTTCCTCTCACCCAAATAAATACTGTTGGTTATATACCTCATTAGATCCCGATTAAAACCCTGTTGTTGATGGGTGAATCCCATTTTCACATATATCATATATCCGAATAATTATTGTTGGTAATGTTCCCATTCAATCCCCCTTGCATCCCGTGACAACAATATTGTTGGTGGTAAAAGAAAACCAAACAAATCCCATTGAATCCCATTTGCATTTGTTTTTTTCCCAGTATATATATATATCGTAATTTTATGTATCCCCATGAAAAATGGTGCTACCGTCATGTAAACTAACAGTTCGATGTGGAAAATCCACAATTTGTTTTTGTGATTCTTTTCATATATGGAAACCATGGCTTTTCCACATCCAACTGTTCGTTTACCCTAGGGTAATTCCCATCAAATTCCCAAAAAAAATCCAGAAGTATATCCCAAGTATATCCCTAAGTTATCTATAGCATCCTTTCCAGAAACCAGCTCCTCTCCGACCGCTGCCATTCTCGCGCCTCGACCGGGAAATCCCAAGTGCTCTGCCCATATGCCCGGAGAACCTTAGCACCATGGAGGCTGCCCTATGGTTGAAAACCCTATGGTTGATGGTGAAACCAATCCAAATATCATGTTGATCATATCCCCACTTTATGCCCAATCCACATTTGAGATACGGGAACTAATCATGGGGAGGTTCCTCCAATATCTGGCCATGTGATGAAACAAACTATATATATATATTTATACGCAACAAAAATGGGGGTTTCGAAAAAACTTCTAAAAACGTCTATACATGGTGATTTACTATAAAGTTATGGGAGTATAAAACCAACCGTGATATGCGAATACAGTGGAGATCCATTTCGCAAACAATATGATTTGGATTTGTCGAACAAATTTGGTGTCACGGTGTAACCCAATTCATGAGCATCATGAGCATTTGAATGCTCGGAAGAGAATGAATGATAAAACTCGGGATCGTGGGGTACCCATGTGACACCATGGGTACCCTATTTTCGGACAAGCGAATACTGTGCCAACTTTGTATGGATCAATGCCAGGACTTCGTGATCATTTTTAAGGCACTCTTCCTCAAGTATTCAACCCCTGTTTGTAAATCTGGGGTTGATGCTACCCTTTAGAAGCTCAAAATAGCTGGTATATAGCTGGTAAATGGATGTTCATCCCAGCATTCAAACGGCACAGTAGATCCCGACCCATCCTGAGTAAATGGAGATGTCTCAACAATCATCAAAATTGGATGGCGGCCAGAGGCTTACTTCCTAAACTGATACATTTGAGGTGGTTTTTTCGGGCACCCCGTAGCCATTTGTATCGGATGGCTAAGGTGAATCTCTGTGAAAACGGCACCGAGTCGGTCGCCGACCACCCGCTTCCAAGTTCAACATTACCCTCTGGTTATGACTAACAGGCCCATTTATAGACGGTTTACCTATTAAAAATGGTGATTTTCCATGGCTATGTTAAATAACCAGAGGGTATATCTCTTGGTCAATCGATTCATCTTGGAGTCTACAGAGATTTCTTCACCGATAGCTCAATCCTTCGAGTCCGTTTGGACACCGTTTGGACATCTTGATGTCAATCATCTCGCCCAACATGCCCCATCTGAGGCTTCCAACAGTCATCAGTTTGCCCTCCCGGGTCCATATCTTGGCCATGCCATCGAAACCTGGATTCACAGTCAGTGGATGGGAATAGGTGTGCTTTCCGGCGAAAAGGAAGTAGACAAATCAAGAAACGATGAAATAAAAACGAAGTGGTTTGTAGACCATCTCCTACTTCCAAAATCTTCCTGAGGATCAACAAAAGAGCCCAACGCTCATTTGAGGCCGTGAAAGTGATGGCTTCCCCAGCACTACCCATGTTCATAGCCTATTACCCATCATTTTGTTTGGGCTTCGTTGACCCTGAACTACAGTATATATAGACATCTTTTCATTATCAGGCATATATTTTCGGACAAATGTGATACATGATAAAATACACATTTTCACAAAACACCGCCAAAACATGCCAAAACATGCCAAAACCAAGACGTTGTTTGACGCTATTTGATGATTGGAAGTGAAGATTCGGGCTTCGGGCAACATTATCATGATTTTATCAATGTTGTAACTGCTATCATGCTGATACTGTTTATCAAATATGTTTGTTTTAATCATGAATCATGTATTTTACTACAGTCATGTTTAACTAGTATTAAGTATCATTGTAATTTCAAATTATCATAATCACATATCATCCATATATGATCATATCTGATAATGTTAGGAATGAGAATAAGAACTATGTACAAGTAGACATCATACACTGAATGGAATAGTTTACATGGTTCGACCGTGTCGCCACTTCCCCTCGCAACTTCGTTACTCCTCCAGGCTGAGGCTTGGACCAGCCGTAACGACGCAGGGCGGATTTCGGTAGACCTAGCAGTGGCAGGGGCTGTAAGAACACATTCTCAATCCAAGAAGATAATACATGTAATATATGATGTAGCATGTATACATGATAAGTTTGATATTTTGATAATATGTGATAATACATGATGAAGTAATATAAAGCAATATATTATCAAGTTATATGTCAATGTGACATTTGATTACCAAGGTCCGAGAAGCCCAAAGAAGAGTAAAGAAATATGGTTGTTCAACATCATGTGAAGATACATCGAAATTACGAAATGATCCAAATGACAAGATACCTGCCACTTTTATCCCTTTGGATGGGCAGAATGCCTTTCACTATGGCAGTTGGATTACTCCCTTAAGACGGGAGTGACAACAAATAATAGCGGCCAAAGTCTTAGCCAGGCAAACTCGTGAAGTATTCACCGTCCTCTTTCTATCATATATATATATATACGTACATATATATATATATACATTATATTATCTTGTCCTATCTTATCTTATATTAAGTTATGTTATAGTTTTATTATATCATATTATTTTACATAATATTATATATATATAATGTTACATTTTGTTATATAATATGATATGATAATAGATAAAGCATTATATATATAGAATATAAAACATTATATGGAATATTATATATTATATATAATAGAGTATATGATATTATAGTACAAATTTATATATCAAATCGCAAATTCTATCAAATCATATTATATTCGAGCATATCATATTATATTAAAAACGAAATATATTAAATATATCATATGATGTTATTTTTATATTTTACAACTGTTTTACTATATTATATTGTGTTACACATTTCTTGTCCAATCTGAGATTTAGATAATCTATTTGATATACACACCTCCAATCTGATCTATTTAATCTACTGTACCTCACCCATAAAATCGATCAAATCAAATAAAATCTATCAAAACAATCTATCAATCTATCATCTATGTATCTATCTACCTATATATCTACCCAGTCCCACATCTTGCGGTTGTCCGGGAAGCGCTGGGCCGCTGGGCCTTCAACGTCCGCAGGCTGTCGCTATGTGCCTTCCAAGAGAATCCCTGGCGCACCAAGGGCTGCTCCTGAGCCCAGGGTCAATTGGGACAGCATTTTGGAACAACCTGGCCATGACTAAGATATTCATGGGAGATTCATGGGATATTGTACCAACTTCATATGATCTTTGGGTGACCAAGATCATATTTAAGTACAGTTAAGTTACATTCATGTGACCAACAATAATTTTGCATCAATACACCTAATTCTGTAGAACATTTCCAGCAAGTGTGCCAAAATGATTGTCCATGAAACAGACATCTTTCAGAAAAGCGGAGGGCACCAACGACAAAAATAAAGTTTACAAGGTGTTCAATGTTTGAACTGGGTGCTGCATTTGATATTTTGACCAACTTAAAGAGGACCGTGAAATGCTACGAGGACCTCCCGCCCAACCTCGCAAGAGTTGTGAAATCTTATGTGGGACGTTTGGATCCAAACTCTTTGTGTCAGTATTTTGGGGTTTTGCAGAATCTAGCTGTTTGTCAAAGTATCCAGGATGGCAGGATTATGGCTACATAAATATCATACATGCAAGTCCTAGTCTGCACGCATTTCTGAAACCTGGCAATGAACCATGAAATACCATGAAAAATCATGAACATGTTCGTTAACAGTATTTTGCTGACCGAAGCCTGTTGCCTGTTATTTGCTTCCAGGTGTTTTCAACGTAGTGTAAAGCTAGCCTCACTGCGACATTTGTTTGCCAAGGATTTCGTGTTGGTTCAACCCCCACTTTTGATGGTTAAACTACGAGTTTCTACTTGGCAACCCCTTGAGGACAATCAACACCGGGCCCTCGCACCATTTGCGCTTGCAACTCTGGAACTTCGATTGAAGAAGCTTTCCGCGCCACCGTCTGGCGAGGTATTGCAGTCGAGAGGGTTTTTTTCTGCTTGAGCAAAGCCAGTTTCCGTTTCCAACAGAGACTCTGAAAGGGGGTCGGAAAATGTTGGAAACACAGGGCCAAATGGATGTGGGTCAAAATGGAAGACCTAGGGGACCACAGATGTTAGTCTAGTTTAGTATTAACCATCCAATTATTGGGGTACCTAATTTTGACCCATACCCAAATCACAACATACCATAGCCATGTCCCAAAATTGGGAACCCTCGTCTTTCCAGTCCATGTCGTCCGAGGATTGTCCACGCATTCTGGGAGGCCCTGGTCGAGATACCCTCTGAACAAAAAATGGCTGGCTCGGAAATCCCCCCGCGTCGGCGTCCCCATGTTCAACATGTTCAATAGGTATCAGTATTTTGTTTTTTTTTGTACTGCAAGAAAATCATAGTAAATCAAAGTAAATCATCCAAACGAACAGGGTCCCGGCAGGATCGTCCGCAAATCGAATCAGCTATTAAGCTGTTAGGATAAGCTGTTAAGCTATTAAGCTGTTAAGCTATTAAGCTATTAAGCTGTTAAGTTGTTAGGACAAGCTGTTAAGCTACTAAGCCGTTAAGCTGTTTGGAGAAGCCGATAAGCTATTAAGCTATTAAGCTGTTAAGCTATTAAGCTGTTTGGAGAAGCTGTTAAGCTATTAAGCTGTTGGGCTATTAAGCCGTTTGAAAAAGCTGTTAAGCTATTAAGCTGTTAAGCTATTAAGCTGTTAAGCTATTAAGCTGTTTGGAGAAGCTGTTAAGCTATTAAGCTGTTTGGAGAAGCCGTTAAGCTATTAAGCTGTTAGTGTAATAGCTTAATAGCTTAATCGCTTATTCTAATAGCTTAATAGCTTAATCGCTTATTCTAATAGCTTAATAGCTTAATCGCTTATTCTAATAGCTTAATAGCTTAATCGCTTATTCTAATAGCTTAATAGCTTAATCGCTTATTCTAATAGCTTAATCGCTTAATCGCTTATTCTAATAGCTTAATAGCTTAATCGCTTATTCTAATAGCTTAATCGCTTAATCGCTTATTCTAATAGCTTAATAGCTTAATAGCTTATTCTAATAGCTTAATAGCTTAATGGCTTATTCTAATAGCTTAATAGCTTAATCGCTTATTCTAATAGCTTAATAGCTTAATCGCTTATTCTAATAGCTTAATAGCTTAATAGCTTATTCTAATAGCTTAATAGCTTAATTGCTTATTCTAATAGCTTAATCAAAGGGAAGTTGGGAAGCAATACTTCCGTGTTACGGACAAATAGAATTCTGAGACTTGAAATGATGAAGGGTGGTGCGCGACTGAGACTTGACCTTGATGAAGGGTGGTGTGAGACTTTACATTACATAACAATACATAACAAAAGGATTGACCTTGATGAAGGGTGGTGTGAGACTTTACATTATATAACAATACATCAGAAAAGAATTGACCTTGATGAAGGGTGGTGTGAGACATTACATTACATAACAATACATCACAAAAGCATTGACCTTGATCAAAAGTGGTGTGAGACATTACAAGGGTGGTGTGCGACATTACATTACATAGCAATACATCACAAAAGGATTGACCTTGATGAAGGGTGGTGTGAGACTTTGCACTACATAACAATACATCACAAAAGGATTGACCTTGATGAAGGGTGGTGTGAGACATTACATTACATTACATAGCAATACATCACAAAAGGATTGACCTTGATGAAGGGTGGTGTGAGACTTTGCACTACATAACAATACATCAGCAAAGAACTGACTTTGATGAAGGGTGGTGTGAGACTTTACACTACATAACAATACATCAGAAAAGAATTGATCTCGATGAAGGGTGGTGTGAGACTTTGCACTACATAACAATACGCTGGGGTCGTTTGGTTCCTTCTATGTGTTTTGCAACAATGCTTGTTCCTGTGTGCGTGGTTCTATGCGTTTCTTGAAGCTGTGGTGGCAGATTGCATTGGAATGGCTGCTTGATTGTCGTCATCTGATGTTGCCACGTGCGTAGATAGGTGCAGGTTTGCTACGGGATGCTGCGAAACGTATTGTACTGGTTGCATGAATGTTGCATGGGCTATGTTTTAGGGAGGAAGCCGGAGCACGAAACCTTGTGTTTTTCCGTGTAAAGTGGCTGCAGGCGACGATGAAAGGTACCTCGTCTGTGCGGCGGTTGCGGCTGGGGTCGGTTTGCCTTTTTTTTTTGCCGCATTGTAACGGTGGCTTCAAGCTGCTTTGGGTGTGCTTGTCTGTGCGTAGTTATAGGGTGTTTTGGAATCTGTGCTTGCAGATCGCATTGGAATGGCTGCATGACTCTTGTCATCTGGTGTTCTGGTGTTGTTCTGTGCGTAGATAGGTGCAGGTTTGCAAGTTGATGCTGCGAACCGCATTGTAATGGCTGCATGATGTTGCATGGGCTATGTTTTGGGGAGGAAGCCGGAGCACAAAACCTTGTGTTTTTCCGTGTAAAGTGGCTGCAGGCGACGATGAAAGGTA